ACCCGGGAGCCTGAGCTCATCCAAGTGCAGACCCAGGCCATGATGTTTCTCAGTGCTGAAGGCTTTCCTTCAGCTACTCCTTATCTCACAAAAGATGGTTCCATAATGTCTCTGGAGTCGGGAGGTGAGCAATTGCCAGCACCTTTGCTGCCCCACCCTTAGCTCAGCAGGAGCTTGTGTGTGGCACACACACTGTGTAGGTACTAAAGGGTAACTCTGGGCTTTTGTTTAACTATTAGGGGATATGTGTCAGGTGACCTGTATTCCACCCATAATAATCCAGACTTAAAATACCAGAAACAAAGCAACTCAAAGAAACTAATAATTAACTATGAAAACACTTAGGAAATCACTTCAATATAATGAATTGGATAAAACATTTATGTGACGTGAAAAGGAAAAAACCACCTCATTGACTAAGTGATGCTTGAAATTATTTGTCTACAGAATGGTGTAAAATACAGTTCTAACCCATCTATGAATCCAGAACAAATTGCTTTGACAGAGCTTGGAAGAAAGGTTGTGTTGACATTTGGCTTTTACTGTCACTGTAACCTTCATACAAAATCTGAGATTCCTGAGACCTGCTGTTCTGCTGCAAAGCTGTCAGTGGGTGTGTGGGCACTGGAGGAACCCTGATGTTGGCAGAATCGGTCCCAAGCACAAGGACTTGAAATCCAGCATAGATTGCAAGTGTGTTACGATTTCAACATCATTGTACAACACCCTGGTAAATCAAATCTTTGCATGTTTTATCAGCTACATCTGACGACTCCTACACTGGGATAAACCTTTTTTGCCTCTTGCATTGACTGATACTCAGTAGCACATATGGAAACAACTGACAGATCTGTCCTTGCTTGTCAGATGCTGGGAACAAGAAGCACATGGTCAGGCTGCTGACCTACCTGCCAGGAACACCAGTAGCCAAAGTTGCCACCGATGCCCAGCTCCTGTATGAGATCGGTAAACTGGCTGCCAGCCTGGACAAAGCGCTCGCAGAGGTGAGTTCCCATCTGCAGCCTCACACTTCTTCCTTCCTGAATGTCTCCTCAGCGTTTGTTCCTGTGCTCTGCCTGCTCTCCCGGGCTGCACAATGCAGGTGTCACTGACTCTCCCCTCAGTGTCAGCTCCAAGCTGGGCTGCTGAAGCCTCTCCCCACTACAGGACTGGTGATACTCTTGCAATGCATTTTTGTACCACCTACTGGGGGACAAGGATTTCCTTTTGCTTACGCAGAGCTCACCTGCTTAGTGTTTCAAACCTGGCAAGTGAGGAGAATGAACTCCAGGGTGCTCACATTAGAAGCATGCCAAGCTTGTTTTAAAGGATCTTTGTGTAGTGCACAGCTGGCTGATCCATTACTTTGAATTCCTTTTGACTTGGTGACTGTCTCCTGGTCATCAGCCCTGTGACCATTTAACATTGGTAGCAGCTGGTTCCTTCCCTACAGTGCCAGCTGTGCCAACAAACAGAGGTCTCTGACACTTCTCATTTGCACTGCTACCACTCAGTCTCAATGCAAAGTAAGTTTTTCCTTTACTCTGTAATTATACAGGATAATAAAGGTGATAAATCAGCCAGTAATTAAGTTTGATACATAAAAGGACTCTTGCATTATTTATTGCCTTTCATTAACCTTTCCTTCTCATGTTCTGACTACCAGCTTCAGACAATTATGAAATGTGAATTGCCAGCTTTACTAACCACATTCTTAAATTACAAAACCATTTTTCAATTGGGAAAGATAACTTACAGTTGCCTTCTGGCACACTGGTCACACTCTTATAATGCGATTAAAACAATTTATGTAGGCGAGCTAGTCTCAAAATAAGCCTGTGACTGATCCTGCCAAGGAGGAAGTACTTGATGAGAAAGCAAATTCTGATGGAAAAGGCTCTTTATGCCCTTAACACATGGATTATCATCTACCAAGGCCTGTCATTTAAAAGAAAGCAAATCACAATAATTCTTGTCAAAACTTCAAAATGTTGTTGGCACTAAAAATAATACCTAAGGTATTAAGTTTCCTGACGACAGACCAGAAAGTACAGCCTGTCTTTTTTATCTAATTAATTTACTTTATTAATCCAGTAAATTTTACTTTAAAAGTAAATTTAATTTACTTTTATCCAGTTAATTCACCTTGCTAGCAAAGCACTGTGCCATGCTTTGTTTTGTGCCCCAGATTGTATTCCCCCCCTTCTCTGGTGGTGTCTGTTTGGCTCGGATGTGCCTCGCAGCCCCTAAGTGGAAATGAGTTTATGGGTGACCTTCTAAGGCTTGGCAGTGAGGAGGGCTCATGACTTACCACCCTTACCAGCAGATGGCTTTATTCCTACTGATGTGTGGCTTCCCACAGCATTAGGGATCCTGTATTGTGATTTTGGTTTAGGCTTGATGTTCCTTGTTCATACACAGTCTGTTTTGACTGTCATTTAGTGATCATTAATTACAAGCATAGTTTTTATTTTTTTTTTTTAAGAGGAAGCCAGCTGCTCTCATGGGAAGTCTTTTATTTGCCCTATGCACTGCCACCCTAATAAGCATTTGAGGAGTGCAGGTGTGGAGTGTGCAGTGGGAGAGATGCTTTTCCTCTCTGAGTGCCTTTTCCAAACCACCTTTTCCATTTGCTGGTGAGAGAGAAGTTAAGGACCTTGTTTGTTTAAAATAGCAAGGCCTGGTTGTACAAAGGCAAATTCCCATACGAATGAAGTCGTGGTCAGAGTCTCCATGAAGTACTTTGTCCCCAGGGGTTTTCACACAGCAGCTGTTCCTAAGGCTTGTCCCCAGAAGCTGCCACCTTTAAAAGCACAGAGTGTGCCTGTTCCCACCACGCTGGCAGGTTTTGTGTCCCTTCTGCTCTGACATCTTTCTGCAGTGCCAGCTGTGCAGGCTGGGCTCTGCCAGTCTGGGGCTCTGCCAGCCTGGGGCTCTGCCTTGGCAAGGCCTCAAAGTCACCACATCCTGTCACGTTACGGGCAGTCAACAGCAATTTCAGATTATTTAAGTGGCAAATGACTTAAATAATCTTTGTACCTTAAACCATGGGAAAAAACAACGTTCAGGCTGTATGTAGATACTAAGATGCTTACCTTAATCATTCTTCAAGTTATTCTTTTACTTGATGTAAAGCAATAGTGCAAGTAATGGTGCTTTTCAGTGAGTCTCATTAGAAACCTGTTAAAGTTAATAGGGGCTTTGAATCAAGCCCTTTAATCACAAACCCAGCATTTCTACTTATGGCCTATTTTATTGTGTGCTTTTTCCAAAGAAATTCCATCATCCATCAGTAAAAAGTCTGCATCGAGGTCAGTTCATTTGGAACCTGGCAAATGTTCCTCTTCTGGAGCAGTACATTTATGCCTTGGGCCAGAACAAATACCGTGCAGTTGTGGAACAAGTTATTGAGCAGTTTAAAGGGAAAGTGATACCCAAGCTAAGCAGTTTTCGAGCCTGTGAGTATTTTGTTCTCATTTTAATTATGTTGAAATGAGACACGGAAAATTCTTTCAGGAGTTTGGGTCTGTGTAGAAGGCAAAAAAAGGCAAAAGAGTAAATCTCCTTTCTCCCCTGCCTAGACATGGGCAAACATTGTGCTGAAATGGACACAGCATCTGTAAGCCAGGAGGAATGTGCTGTCCAGGGTCAGGGTCAGTTCCTTTCTGCTGAGTTTGCTTCCAGTTAAGGTGATGATTTTCATGCTGTTGTATCAGCTTACTGAGTATATATGAGTGCACCACTTCCTTTCATAAAGGCCCAGATAAGTACTTAATCATACTTTTGGAATTCTGCTCACATTGATCTCGATGACAATGTGACAGTTTTATAGTTGGAACTGCTACTGTGTATTTGGAAAACATGTAGCATATCACAGGTGGAACCAGACCAGTCAGATCTTGAAACAATCCCTCCATCCACTGCTGTCAGTGCAGTGGAGGTTCCTGGGCAGCAGTAAAGGTGTGAAAGGCAGCTCTTGATGCTGCAGGGGACTCGTGTGGTTTTGTAGTTGAGTGTTAGTTTGAGCCTTTATGCATCTTCTTAAAGCTCTTTCACTGAGAAACGTGGGGGGAAAAAGTTAAATTCTGCTGCTTATTGATTATTAAGTACTGTTTCTCCTGTGCTTAGGTATCAATCATGGAGATCTTAATGACCACAACATCCTAGTAGACTGCAGTTCTGCTTCCCTGGAGAACCCCCAGTACAGAGTGTCGGGCATCCTGGACTTCAGCGACATGAGCTATGGGTATTACGTGTTTGAGGTCGCCATAGCCATCATGTACATGATGATCGAGAGCCCAGACCCTCTGGGCGTGGGGGGGCACGTTCTGGCGGGGTTCGAGAGCGTGGTGCCGCTCACGGCCGAGGAGAGAGGGGCCCTTTTCCTCCTGGTGAGCGGGAGGTTCGCGCAGTCACTCGTCATCGCTGCCCACACGGCTCTGCTGTACCCAGAGAACAAGGAGTACCTCATGATCACAGCCAAAACCGGCTGGAAACACTTAATGACAATGTTTGAGATGGGCCAGGAAGCGGTGGAGAAGAAATGGTTTGAGACTGCCCAGGCGTACGTGCACCACACACCTGCCCCGTCGGTCAGTGGCTGCTGAGGTGTCACTGGCAGTGACACTGGACCAAATAAAGGCAATAAAGTGGGTGCTGCCTGGGCTGGATGGGACTCGTTTGCAGGCAGGGGTGGGAACTGGGCTTGGTCTGCCTTCCCCAGGGGATGTGGCCATTTCTCCCCCTCACAGCAGAGTGTGGCCGTTACTGACCCTCAGGGCGGGGGTGTGGCAGTTCCCGCCCCGTTCCGCCGTTCCCACCCCGTTCCGCCGGCCCCACCCCGCGCAGGGCAGGGAAGGGCACAGGCCCCGCCCCGGCCCGTCTCGCGGCACCGCGCAGGCGCGGCGGCCATTTCCGACGCGGCGGTGAAGGCTCGGGCGCGGCCGCAGCGCCCGGTTCGTGCCGCGGGACGGGACCCGCCGCCCCCGCCCGGCCCAGCGGCTCCTCTCCGGCCCGCCGTGAGTGAGGGCGGGCGGCGGGCGGGCTGGGGGGTGCGGGGCGCGGCCCTGCGCGGCGCGGGGGGCGGCGAGGCCCTGGCGTTCCGCCGCGCTGAGGATGACTGTGCAGTGCGGGCGGGCGGCAGCGCCCTCTGGGGCCGGGCCGGGGGCGCTCGGTGCCGGTGCCGGTTCACGTGTCCCGTGTTCCCCCGCAGGCCCGGTGCCGGTTCACGTCCCTGTGTTCCCCCGCAGGCCCGGTGCTGGTTCCTGTGCCCGTTCCTGGCTCACGTCCCTGTTTTCCCCCGCAGGCCCGGTGCCGGTTCCTGTGTCCGTTCCCGCTGCACGTCCCTGTGTTCCCTCGTAGGCCCGGTGCCCGCGGCGCGTCCCCGGCACGATGGTGAGTGGTCCCCTCTCCCGGGGCTCTGCGGGGCGCGGTGCTGCCGAGTCACGGCCCGGGCGGTCAGACCGGCCCCAGCTCACCGGGTATTTGGGTCTGTTGTGTTTGTTACACGGGAACTTGGAGGGTTGGTGTCAAGAGACTGACGGTACTTACTGAGCTATTGCTTTTTACAGTCTCGAAGATATGACTCCAGAACTACCATATTTTCTCCTGAAGGTATTTTTTAACCCCACACTTTCAAGTAAACTCTGACTGCTCTATTCATCTTCTCACTTGCATGAAGGTTGGTTGTTTATAGCGTGTTTCTGTCTGTGTATGAGTTAGAGAAATCATATTTACCCAATAGAAGTAGCACCCAGTTCTGTAAGGACACCAAGGGTCCAAAGTGGACATTTCCAGATTCATTCTGACTGAAGCAATAATAAACCCTTCCCTCATTAGTGAGTAATATCACCTGCCACATTTTTGAAATAACCATTTATCTTTTATTTGATATGGGTGGATTTTGTCACTCTCTCCTAAGACTGGACAATATCCTGCTGGTGCAGTCACACCTCTCCTTGTTATTCTTACACATGCTGAAACAAGTGTCTGCACACCATGTTTTCCTATTTCTTAGATGGAGGAACTCAAAAAGTTCAGTATCAGATATTTTCTTTGATTATTGAAAATCCATTTTGGCTCATTTTACTGCAGTAGAGACTTCTCTAGATTTTTTTTTTTAATTTTTTTCAAGAAAGGATATTTTCCCCATTTTTGGATTTTCCTTCTTTGATTCCTTCCTCCTGTTCAAACTGTTAATTTGCTCTCAACTGGTAACAGACTGGAGAAGTAAGAGCAGCTTGTATAATGAGCACCTGCTAGATTCTTGCAAGTTCAAGTCAGTGTGTGAACTTGATGTTCTTTGGTGTTATTTTTTGACATTATCAATTGAAACCCTCTCCCAGGTCGCCTGTACCAGGTGGAATATGCCATGGAAGCCATTGGACATGCAGGCACTTGCCTGGGAATTCTGGCAAACGACGGAGTCCTGCTGGCAGCAGAGAGACGCAACATCCACAAGCTGCTCGATGAAGTGTTTTTCTCAGAGAAAATATACAAACTTAATGAGTAAGTTGAAATGATGATCAAATGTCCAGTGATGCTATTAGTAACAAAACACTGGCTAGCACATAATCTGCTTTTATTTAATTTGAAGTGTTAACAATCTTTTTGGTGTTTTAGACAAGTATGACTGCTTTGTTGTTGCTCACTTTAGTAGTTCTCCTTCTAAAGCAGAAATATTGCTGGGTTTGGTTTTTTTTATCTCTAGGAGAATTTTCCAGGTGGAATAGCCTATTTGTTGTGCTGTGCCATACAAGGTAATGGTATTGCAGCAGTTCAGAAAATTGGGAATTCTGTTTTACAGAGTACCATTAGGAGGCAGAATGAAGAATGCACACATGCTACTTCAGCTCAGGATCCTCCTCTAAGTCTTTGTTTTTCTTTGGTGACTCAAAGAGAACAAGATAATTGGATGTCTTAGGCTTCTTTGCCACAATTGTAGCAGAAATGATACATCTCCCTATTACAACTTCCATTTTAGTTCTCTGGAAATTACATTTGTGATGTCACAGCAAAGATTATTACAGATTATGCTTTCTTGCCTGTAAGGGAGGTAGAGCTTCATCCTTGCTGGAAGGTGCACATGAAACACAAATAGTTTTCCATCCTGTCAGCCTCCCATTCCATGTTGATCCTGAAGGCAGTTAGAACAGTAGGAAGCACTGGATTTTAGAGGAGGCAGTGCACTGGAGCAGTCCCTAGAACAGCCCTTCCATCTTCTGGGAAATTCCCAATTTCACAAATCCTTCTTGGGTAATGAAAGCTTTGTAGCAACATGAGATTGGGCTAAAGAGCTCTTAATTTAAGAGCTAACAAAACAATCAAGGATGTGAAGTGCCTGATTTTATTAGGGTCATATCCAGATGACTGAGTTTCAGTGGCACAGATGCCGTGTGTCAGCCAGCAGCTCCCACTGGAGGCCTGTCACATCCGTGTGGTTCCACATCAGGTGGCCTCCTGAGGGGCACCTGCATGTACCTGATGGCTCTTGTAAAGCCACCTGGCACTTGATCATGTTTGGCATGATCTCAGAACTCTCTGTGTAACCAACATGCTGACTCACTCACATTCGCTGTCCAGCTCTGCTCTCAGGAAAGGGTTACTAATATTTCTGGTGTACCCTAAAAGCAGGAGCTGATGAACCTGTTTTATGTGGCAGCTACCTAGTTTTGATCAGAAAAGCCTTGACAGCAGGTGTTGTGCTTGGACCCCTGTGTGAAGATGTGACTGTCGGCTGGAGATGGGTGGGAATTCAGTCTGTGCTTCCCTTGCAGGGACATGGCTTGCAGCGTTGCAGGAATTACTTCAGATGCCAATGTTCTGACCAACGAGCTGCGACTGATTGCACAGAGGTGGGTCTGCTGATAGTTCACATGGTTTTACTTGCCTGCCCTGTCACATTCAGTTCCCTGGGTGTTAAACCAAAATGAACGTGCCTTTAGTAGATCAGAAGTAGATTGAAATAGAACAGCTAGATCAAAGAGGCTCTAACTTGGGAACTTGTTTCCTCTTAAATGTTGTACAGGATACTGTCAGCAAAACAAGTTTTGAAAACCGTTTTTTCTCCTCTTTGATATTAGGTATTTGTTACAATATCAAGAGCCCATTCCCTGTGAACAACTAGTAACAGCACTGTGTGATATCAAGCAGGCTTACACACAGTTTGGAGGTAACGAATGTGATGAGTCATTGTGTTATTAAATGCCTAAGGAACAATTCTCTGTCATAATATGAAGGATCTAAATCTCTGGACAGTTCTACTGAATTTAAGTTATACTGAGAAAAACAATAGCCTAATTTAAGAGGGGAATGGGTAGTCATGGTTACTGCTTTGCTGCTGAAGGTGCTACTTTTTATTGATTGGGAAATTGATGGCTGAGATGCCATCCCATTGCACAGAATGCTTTGAGTGCTCTTGTATTTAATCAATGCCTTCAAAAGACCAGTAGAGAATTGTTTGATAGGCAGCTTTTCAATGTTTGGGGCCCACCCAAAATGTAACACTTCAAAAAATACTATTTCTGTGGCTCGAGGAACATGTCAGAGAACGAGGTTGTCTTGTTCCTTAATATGTGAACATTAGTATGTATTCTCTGTTTTACATATATGTAGTGTGAAAGAATTACCTTTTCATGTACTTGGCTTTTGACACTGTTAAGTTAAACACTTTAACAGCTAAGCTACACACTTTAAATATTCAATTTTGATTTAAAGTCCTGAGATGATAAATTACAATTTGTGGAGACAGAAATGAGCTGCTCTTAGGGTTAAATGGAATAAATCTCTGCTGCCCCCCACCCCATGACTTAGAAAGAGATGCTGGCGTGCTTATCTCAAGCAACAGAAGTGCAGAACTGTCTGTTAAATCCCAGTTCACAGGAATAGATTTGGAAAAAGAAATCAAAGAAAATAATTGTCACTCATGACCAATCTTGTTACTAAATTTAGATTGCTAATAGCCTTCTTTTCAACAGGAAAACGTCCTTTTGGTGTGTCGTTGCTCTATATTGGCTGGGATAAGCATTATGGATTTCAGCTCTATCAAAGTGATCCTAGTGGAAATTATGGAGGCTGGAAAGCTACATGCATTGGGAATAACAGCGCTGTAAGTTCTGGGTTTTTTCTTCTCAAAAAACAAGGAAAAAGGTGTAAATTGCACTGTACTAATTAAACTGAGTTGTTTATTACTAGTGCAGAAGAGATTTACAGGTGATTTTAGCAATGCTGCTGTTACTCATGTATTATCTGCCAAAAAGCCCAACAGTTTGGTTGATTGCCCAAAGATACCTTTTTAATTTCTGTCAAATTTACAGGCAGCTGTGTCAATGCTAAAGCAGGACTACAAAGAAGGAGAAATGACCTTAAAGACTGCCCTGGCCTTGGCCATCAAGGTCCTGAACAAAACCATGGATGTCAGCAAGCTCTCCGCAGAGAAAGGTGAGCTCCTGCAGTGCCACCGTCTGCAGTGAGGGCACGTGCTCTAGATGTGGGTTGTTGGCTCTTTTGTCATGCAAACGATGTAGGGGTGACACAGGGAGTGTGTCAGTGCTGTGTGCTCTGCCTGCTGGCAGGGGGAGGACAGGAGCCTTGTGCTTCCCTGTCACTTGTGCTCCCAAAGCTCGCCCCAGTGCTGCTGGCTGTGCCCGCAGGACAGAATGTAACGCGCTGTCTGTTCCATGTGTTTCAGTTGAAATTGCAACACTGACCAGAGAGAACGGAAAGACAGTGATAAGGGTTCTGAAGCAAAAGGAGGTGGAACAATTGATTAAACAACATGAGGAGGAGGAAGCAAAAGCTGAACGTGAAAAGAAGGAAAAGGAACAAAAAGAGAAGGATAAATAGAGTATGAAATCAAGTGTTCTCTAGATAATAAAGGACCTGCTTCAGTAAAAGATAATCTGGATTTCTGTCTGGTAGAAGCCTACAGCTACGCCATGGAGGACCCAGAATTACTTTTGATGAACCAGGTCCTTAATCATCATTTAGATAATTAGTTTACTGCTCCTTACGTTGACCAATAATTGCTTTAATTCTCGAACACTCTATTTCTTTCATCTTCTATTTTTTTTTTTATGGAATAAAATTTAAGAAGAATAGCGATGGGTGTCTTTATTTCCTTAGTAATGCCTGGATATGCACAATCTTGAGGAATTTATTCGCTTTAAACCATTAAAACAAGGTATATGCTAGTTGGTAAAGAACAAATATGGTGTTAGAATTGTTAGAATTTTGTGTGTATGTGTGGGTTTTCCTTTTAAGGTAGTGAAAAGAGCTCCATAGTTTGAGAAGTCATTTCACAAATACAGAATTAAAGTGTGCTGGCATGCCAAGTTTTAGTTTTGGCCTATTTTGTTCTATATCAGGCTCTGTCAAACTGATGGTCTTGCAAGCAGTAGTGTTTTAAAAATGCCCTGTAGCAAATGTGTTCAGTTTATCATAGCCTTCACCAGTGCATGTGTTTTCTAAGAAATTAATCATACAACACGAGCTGTATTCACACAAACTAGAAAGACATTTTACAAAGGCCATGTGAAAATGTTAATCTATCTTGTCAGAATAAAAATAGGTAAATAAAAGAGTGCATGATTTTAGGCCATGTTGACTATTTCACATTTTATCCTGAAAGGAAGTTGAGATGTTTTATGTTTAGCTTGGTGTTGCTGATATGTCCTCAGAGAATTTGGTTCCCTTTTCAGGCACAACGGTCTTAAAAAATACCAATTAACCACCTGAGAAATCATAATGTTTGTGCATGAATTAGAAATTATAATAATTTTTGTCCAGCTTGCCCCTATACTGAATGCAAGAAAGTGTACTTGTCAGATTAGCAAAAATCTCTTCTGGAAAAAAAACCAGAGGAAATGAAAACAAGTTATTGAAAATTATTGTGCACCCTTTCAGATCTCAAAAGCAAAGTGAAAAGCTCAAGTGACCTGGTTAAATGTGAGGCCTTACTTGCTGAATTTCCAGCTGTGACGCTGGTGATCCAGCCCCTTTGTGCCCACCCTGGATTGTATCGATCTTGTGGCTTTTTTGGTTGGTTGGTTTGGTTTGTTGGGAGTTTTACCCCAAAGGTTATGTGATGTGGACAGGATTGAATATGACCATTTAAAGAAACTCAGTGAATCCATGCAGTGTTTTGTTGTTAATCCATCCCAGACATTTTTGACTAAAATGTACTTTGTCAACATGGCCAGAAATGACCCTTCATCTCCACTAAACCCATTTTTGAGCTCGCTGCTGTAAGAGTCACTGTTGAGAACAGAGGGAAGGAATCTGCCTTGAGGTGTCTGTGCTGCAGCTGGTGCAGATGCCCTGAGCTCTGGCAGCCTCTGCAGGGACAGCAGGGCTGGCTGGGGGCTCTCTCCAGGCTGCAGGACCTGCTTGCTCATTATGGCTCAGTGCAGGCCAATTGCTTTAGTCCTTTGTACTGAACTTAGACAGCACATGGTTAATATTCAAATTTTACAGCCAGTAAAAGTTCCACTGACTCTTCTTTACACCCTGTGCTACAGCAGGTCTTCCAAACTAACACAGGAATGGTATTTCATGTAAGGAGCCCTGAACAGTTGCAGACAACGTGCAATGGGTAAGATTCAATCTCCATCATAAAGGGTTGTATAAATACCTCAAGCTCCATTTTTATGTAGAATTCCAGTGCTCAGTCTTTCTATTTTTTGATACCATGAATGCAATATATCAGCATCTTTTTGCAGATTTCTGGATCACTGATGATGGTTATACAAGTGCTTGGAATATGCTCTAAAACAGCAATGCCAAAATGGAGTTTTGTCTCATTTCTCAAAGATGACTTGCAACAAAACGTGATGGGCTCCAGCAATGCTTTCTGTCTTTGGGGAAACCAGGAGAGCATCTGAGCTTGTGTTCATCGATGTATATAGACCATACAAGGCAGTTTGTTCAGTGGAGTAGTGTAAGTATTATTAGTTAGCTTAGGATATAGACTTATTGAAATATTTTTTTGTAAATGCATCTTTTTCTAACAAAATGGGGATAATCTTTGTTTAAAGAACTACCAATAGCATTTCTTTGCCAAACACTGCATAATTTGCTGTTAAAGGAGAACTGTTTAGATACTGTAATAACAAAGAATTTGGAATGACTTAAGTAATTTTCTGATCTGTACTCCATTATGTCTTGAAGCGTTGTGTAGTTACACTAAATTTTAAAAGTTCTATTTATTTAAAGGTTTTGTTTACCCAAAGTAAAAGTAGTGTCAAGTACTTTATGAGTATAATCTTTGAACAGTAATTACCAATTTAATTTAAAAAACCCTCATCTCTCCTGAGTGCCATTAATAGCTGATTGTGAGCTGAGCCTCGGTACTGCCTTGGAACAGGCAAGTAACTCCAGCTGGCACTCCTGTCCAAGTTGTACAGCAAAGTTCTCCTGAAATAAATTTAATTTCTGATTTTTTTCTGCATTTGAGCCTAGGGCAATAAGCAGATGCTGGGGATCTCTCATGACTAGAATCTTCCTGAGCCATCCTTGCAAGTTCCTTACCTGTTCTTCCTAGAGATAAGAGCAGTGTTTGACTGCATTGGCCTATTGTGTTGATTCTGGCTTTGTGTGTTTAAACAAAAAAACCTAAAAAAAAAATCACCACCATCTGTGCCTTTTCTGGGAGTGGTTTGGGGATAAGTCGTAAGAACAGAAAATGATTCTGGCGATACATTTGAGGTATCTTTGCTAATCAAAAGATCTTCCTGTTCTTTGTATGTTTTTTTTTGGTGTACGTAGTGTTTACGTAGAGTTTACAGTGTATTACATAAATATTTCAAATATTTAGCTATTGCTGTGGCTTAATTGTTATTTTAACACCAGAACTTTGTGTGGTGCTGTGGAAGGTGACAAATTTTTCACATTAGGTAGACGTATTTACTTGAAACTGTTTGCATAATATGATGTTTGTAAACTTAAAAACTGGGTAGCTTATATCTCACGTGACTGCATGATAGAACTTGATAGGGCAAATATGCAAATATTCACAAATAGATTGTCCTAAGAAATTGTAACGTGGTTTGTTATTCTAAGTAGCTTAAGAGGCAATGAAACTACTGCTTCTCCAGTGATATCTGTGCTGTCCTTGCATCTGTCAGTGTTTAAAAAGAGAGTTAGCTTGTTTTCTAGGTGACTGTATCCTGCTCAAATAAAGTCAAACTTACTTCTAAGACTGCTTCTTATATGACCTCCTTTAGGTATGCTTCCCTCTTCATCCAAATATTTTCCTTGTTAGTTACGAAAGCACACAAATTGAGATGAAAAAACTTCTGATGTTAAATTTGACAGCTGCTTCTGGTTTGTTATGGATTTCCTTCTGTTCATAACCTTCAAATTAGGGACAATGCTTCTCCACTGTGTTGTGAGAATGAATACATTAATGATTGCAAGGTGTTCAGAGGAATGGTTTTAGAGGCCACAGAACTGTATGTGATAATAGATAACAGAGCTAGGTGTGTACAAGATATTAAGTCCAAGAAGTTAATGCACTTGGGTGCTTCATACATGAGAGAAATCGTGTAGCTTCAGACTAGATGAGATTCTAGGACTTAAATGTCTTTCATTTTCTTTAAAGAATATTTTCCATTACAGTTCTTCTGTAGTGAAAGCTGTCCTCATTTTCAAGTTTTAATTGCGGTTATTTCTATTGCAATATGAAAGACCACTGAAGTAACTTGATCTAAGGGTATCCTTCACTGGCTTTAATCTGGACAAAATTCAGCTTCACAAAGTTTTTAGAATATTTCTGATTTTACATAGAGAACTGAGCAGCTTGCTATTTTTATCTGTGTTTAATTTGGCATTTGGCTTTCCAGTTAAACTACTCTTCAGTGCACAGTGAAAGCTGCCATCAGCCAATTTATTGCAGATTCTCAGAGCATACTTTAGTGGGGACCTTCAGATGTCACCTCCAGCTGACAAGGGCCCTTTGAAAGACACCATCACTCATGTAACTGTTTAGGCTTTCACTTAATGACAAATACTAAACATGCTGGTGTTATTATTAACATTTTGCTCCAAGCCCAAAGCAGCAGGAAGAAACAGCTGCTTATTTATAACTACTGTTTTCTAAAACAGTACTAATACAACATAATTAACATGTGCCAGATGACGCTACATGAAATATTTAGCAAAAGGTTGGGCATGTAACCCAGACAGTTTGATCCTTTTATATCTTACAGCATCTGTTTTGCCTGGTTAGGACCCAGCTGCACACAAATCCACAGTTATGTAATAAAACCAGTTTGCTATGTCCTGCACGTTCCAGTGGCAGCTATTTCAACACTGTTAACGGGACATGAAGGCTCTAAAATGCATTTACTGCAAGGCACACACACTCTGCTCACAGAAATACAGATTTTACACCATCACCTCATGTTAGGAACACCAGGTGCAGTGCAGTGGGGCATTGAAGCAGTTGTCATCAAAAACTACAGAGTTGCAATTTCAGTACAAATATTGCCAAGTAATTTTTGGAGCACTCAGAAAACACCAGAACTCTGGTGTGTCACAAAAGAAATAAAGTAGGGTTCTTTTGTGCCCTGTTTTGGGCTAAAATATATTTTTTATTTACTCTAAAATCTTGGGTTGACCACTGCATACAGACTGAGCATTTCAAAACAGGAGTCGTGCTGCATCCTTTCACACATTTATCTTTTGATTGTGCAGGACATGCAGTACACAAATGGATCCTCGCTATATAAAATGACCATATTTACTGCAGAGTATTCAAATCAATAGGAGTGTGCTGGAAGAAACTACTGGGTAAGCAGCCTTTTTCTGGGTGCTTGCACAGACTGCACTGTGTCTTGCACAGACATGCACAACCCAAATATGGCTGCAGGGTAAGATCATACAGAAAAAACCCAAGTTTAAAAACGAAGGGATTAAAATGCTCCAGTACTCTGTTTCAGTCATTGAGAAGATTCACAGTTTATACAGAGAGATGCACTATTTTTCTGGAAAAGAATTTTGACAATTGACAACACACTTAATGAAATTGCTACTTTGGGTAATGCCCATTTTAGGAAGGTATGAAGTTGCTAAAATTATTTGAATTAAATAAGGACCTTATTAAATAAGGACCATTTTCCTGAGGAATATGGTATCCAGCCCTTTTCATGTTGCAGCTGATTAACACTATGAAGCCATTTAGCCCTTCTTTCCAAATGTTTTCTCTCCGTAAAATATTAATATCTCAGATGTAAAAAATGCATTAATGCCAGCTGCTTCTATTTTCTGTGGCAACGTGTACACCGTGCATTTCCATTAGGACGATTTAGGAAAAATCACTAACTGAGTTTCACAGTTCATGCACTGAAAGTTGTCTTTTGTAGCAGATTTTATTGATCTGATGCAGAAAAAAGGTGGGTGTTTTGTACAGAGTATTTATTATATATGTTATATATATGTTATATATAATATCTGTTATATATACGTTATATATAATATGTATAACATATATTATACGCATTATATATTATTATACCTATTATGTGTATCTATATCTATAATATATATAGAGATGGAAATATCCTGGGTCTTTGTAGCTTGCATCAGTTTTCCTATTTTTGGTTAAAAGTTCCAAAATATTCTGATTTAGAAACTTCTAAAAATCCTACTCTTTTAGAAACTTAAAAAAAAAAAAACACCAAAAAAACCTACTGTTTCATACGGAACGGAAATTAAAAGTTAGTTTAATTTTCCTTTTCTTTTTCGCTAGAAGTCACTGAAACTTACTCCCTCCCAGGAGCACGGTGTGGGAGCAGCAGATGTTGACCGGGGTGGGTTTGCCGGAGTTGTTTTGCGGGCGCGGCGGGGACGAGCCTGAGGGAGCGGCGGTACCTGCCGGGAGCTCCTGCGGCGGCACCGGCTCCCGGAGCGGCTCGGGCAGCCCGGGGGGGCCGCGGCGGGCGGGGTGTGGGAGTGTGCGAGTGAGGGTGTGTGCAGGTGTGTGGGGATGCGGGTGCGAGGTGTCCGGATCCCCGCGGGGCCGGGACCGCCGCCCGCGCCCTGCGCCGGTTCCCGCCCCCCGCGCCCCCTCACGGCCCCCGCGGGGCGGGGCCAGCACCGCCCGGCCCCCGCCCGGCTCCCGCCGCTCCCGGCTGCGGGGCTCGGAGGCAGCGGGGGCTGTGCCCCAGCCATGGCCGGGCGCGGAGCGGGACTGCGGGGCTGCGGCCGCGCCGCTCTGCTCCTCCTGCTCCTCCTCAGCTGGCTCTGCGCGCCCCTGCTCGCCCAGCCCGGAGTCCCGCAGGCGGGTAAGGGGTGAGGGCCGGCGGGGGGAAAAGGCGCCTCAGCGGGAGCCGGGAGGGTGTGGGAGGGCAGGGCACGGCCGGCCGGGGGTCAGAGCCCTCCCGGCGCTGTTCGGGGCCGCCGGGGATGGAGGGGGTGGTACCGCGGCCCGGGGGGCTCGGGCACCGCTGCCTCCCCCGGCTGGGAGCGGTTCGTGAGGGGAAACGGGCGGGATTTGCGTGTGGGGGGAGACGCCGCCGGGGCTGGGGCCGCCACGGACCTGCTTCGCTTTCCACGGCATCAAGTTTTGGCCGGACTCGGCTGAGGTGGGGCTGGTGCCGAGGGGGAGCGGGTCCGGCGGGGGCTGAGCAGCGCCGGGGGAGCATCGGCGGCTTCAAAAAAGGGAACGGGACCTCCAGGGACCGCGGCCAGACCGCCTGGCCAGGGCTGCCCCGGGCACAGGGGGGAAAACGCCTTTGCCAAACTACGGCTTTTCAGGTGCACATCAGCCTCGATTGCCACACATTTCATTGCACAGTGGTTATGCTTTCTAAATGTGTATGTATTGTGATACACTTTAAGGATTTCAAGTGCCACAGCTTTCACTTTTTGCTCTGCTCACTGGTACCGTTGTAGGTTTGTGTGCGTGCAGCTGGTACGGAGGTAAACTTTCAGAATATATTTTAATAGTTGCAGTTTCACGTATGGATGTGGCTGCACATAAAAACAACCTTCTTAAGAATTTATAACAGAACTCTCCTTAGGTTGGTCGTGCGTTATTTCTTTGACTTCAAAAGAGTCAGTCTCGTAATTCAATCAGGATGTAACTTTCCAAGTTGAAGGATGTAAAATAGCATGTGAAGATGGAGTGTTTATAGAATTACACAAAGATTAAAGGAGCAAAATCACTCGTCAAAGATTTATGTAGAAACAGTTATTTTAAAGCGTGACTTGTATATAATTTATAGGTACATTGCTAAGAATTTTGCAGAATGTCTTGAAACCATAACTGCCATATTTACAGGCAGAAAGAAAATGAATGAAAAATGAATTTGACCTTTTTTTAAATATTAACTCAAAATTGAAAAAGTGGTTGTAAGTATGGTTTGTGGAAAGTTGATTGTGTTGATGTCTTGGTTTTAATTCAGCTGACAAATACTCAGTCTGTTATTGCTAAAAGATTATTCTTTGTCTCAGCATTTGGAAAAGTGTTTTTCATCATGAGAGAAGATATTGCTGTGCAAAATCATTTTGTTCCATTATATGATTTATGTGACTACATGTAATTACCCACATTCAGGTTAAGCCAAATTTGGCCTTTTGGCACAAGCCAGCAGTTTTGACTTCATTGAGAACTGATCATACAGAGTGAGGATAACATTTTCTTTTCACAATTTATTTGCTGTAAAATAACATGAAATTTGCTGTAAGAGTGCTTGTAAATTAATTTGGTGTTTTCTTTCATTAGTAGTGAACCAACATTTTATCTTGGATAACTCTGAATTGTCGAGGCAAAATACTTGCTGACTTAAAGTACAATCAAATTATAAGTTTTGTTCCTTGCACTGAATCTTAAACTAAGAGGTGAGCCTTAACTGCCCAAATGGACTCGAGGTTACCCAGCACCTCTAGCACTGCTGTGCTGCAGACCTGTGCTGGTGTTTCCTCGGGAGTTCATGCACCCAAACGTTTCCCAGTCATTTTAACAGAGCAGATCCTTCTCCCTGCCCAAAAGGGAGCTGCAAACCTTCCTGCTTGTACGGGTTTCTTGTGATTTTCCGCTTAAAATATTTTGTGCTTTCTTTAGAGATTCTTAGGAAGAAACACGAGCATTGATTTGTGGAGAAATGTCTGTGTTGATTTGTAGAGGGAACTGTGGAAGGAAGTACTTGCATTTTCCTGGTTTTTAGAATGGTAAAACCTGGGGTTTATGTGGTATTATAAGTTCTGAAATCTTCTGTGTATCTGGTTTTGAGTAGAGTGCCTGATTTCTAAACAGAGTCTCTGATTTCAGTGAGCTGTAGGGTTGTGTGTTCTGATGTATCCAGGACTGGAACTGAGCTGGGTGGGCAAAATGCAGCTGTGGCAGCTTGTGAGGAGCCCCAGTCTGTGTCTTATTTACATAAATCCTGGATTTGTGTTCACTTCCATGATGCATAGCCTCTAAATTTATATGTATAAATGGTTCTACTTATGACATTCTACATCCTTGTTCTTCCTGTTTCTCCCTGCACTCTGCACTTGTACTCACCCTGTTTGCTGCTTGTTCTCAGCATTTCTCAGTGCTGTCTTCACAGTCCATCTTTAGTCCTTAATGACAGGTCAGCAATCACTGGAAAGGATGAAATGATTAAAAATGGTGTAAAGAGAGATGACAAAATCCTGGATCTGTTACGGAAAAAGTCCCCCTGGTTTCAGAGTGGTGGAATTTTTCCCCTGAGGCAGCCTCTTGCTGTGCCCTGGCCCTTTTGCTGTGCCCTGGCTGTCGGGCAGGGAGGAGATGCTGTGGCAGGGCACAGACCCGCTGCTGGAGCTGCAGGGGGCTGTCAGTCAGGAGGCTGCTGCTGGCAGCAGTGTCACCAGAGAGGTCACAGGGTGTGTGTTCCACAGGAACCACAGCACAGCTATTCAGACAGGAGTGCTTTGTGCTCCTGTTATCTCTTAATCTAAAGACTGACCATCAATTCGTATCTATTTCTTGGTTAGTTACAAACTACATGGCAATGTATTATTCTATTACTAATCAAACTTGTAAGTGTATTCAAAAACACGGGCCATAATTATACCTTGATGTTAAGCAACTAGGGGATAGTTTATTCTGCTTTACAATTATGAACTCAGAACTTTTATTTTTAAATTTGAGTTGGATGTAAGAAACACCTTCCCTGCTTTCTGTGGGCAACTCTTGTACCTCTGGGCATGTTGGTAAGTACTGAGCAGTGTTACAGTTCAAAATTCCTCATAGTTTCATGTCCAATATATGTCATTTTATTTTGCTATTGGTTGGGCAGAGGTTGATGTGTGAAGTAAGAGAGAAGGCAGAAATCCTCCCAATAGCTTGAAAGCCCTGTATATGGGTATATATATAGATATGTACATATACCTTTTCTATGCTTGTAGATGTAGTTTTTTAAACAGGGGGGGAAAGATAGTTCTAGGGAGTTCAGAATGTAATAGCTGGCTTTTCTGACCCTTTCTCAGTACGTTGGATGGAGTTAGTAATGCTGCTTTGACTTACAGACATCCTAGAAAAGATGATTTTGATCTCTCTAAATGTTGCTGTTAATTAAACGCTTGACTGTTTGTGATTGGGTTCTTGGCAATTGCTAAAGCACAGGAGGAAAAGTAGGCCAAAAAATTGAAGACCATGCAGAAAGGGTGAGTCACGGTCCTTTTAAAAGGGAGGGGGGAGTCAGTGCAGAAATAAAACTTCCATTTTATGCTTCATTTACTATATTACATATATTTTCTACTTAATGAAGTAATGATGGGAAATCATCTCAATAAATGAGTGTACTGAAGGAAGTACATATATATATATGTGTGTGTATATATATATGTGTATATATACTGTATTGTATATATTCATTCACCTTCCAGGCTTGTAAGAAAATTATTAGTTGTAGTTTGTAGTAGTTAGATTTGTGGATAATAGTCTGTATGTTATGATAACACACAGTTAAACAATATAATGTTAACTGCAAAGTATGGATATTTTGCAATGTTTGTTGTCCTTAGCAGTGTTCTTTTTCATTATAATGGTATATGTTTATAAATGTGCATTAGTAATATATATTACTTCTGAATCTACACCTTAGCATAAGGCTTCTAAAAAGTGACCCTTTCCTTTTTCCCATGGACCTCCTTTGAAAATGCACCAGGTAGTGATGCAAAGAAAACCTGAAATCATTAACACTCAGTTATATCAATTAGCAAATGCTTTGAACTGCACTGTTTAATGTATAAGGACCAGCATTATACCTGCAATCCCAATGTGGTTCTTAGACACGTTATCTAAGGAAGTGCAGAGGAATGCAGAGTTCAAAGAAAGCTTATTCTTTGGAGAAACGTGGACTGTGGTGTTCTCTCATTTGAAAACAAACAAATATTTATGAAAATACATCTGAGATAAAGCTGCAACACTGACTGTTTAACTGGTAGTTCTTATAAAAAGAATAATGCTGCTAAATCATATTAAGATGCTAAGAAATGTAATCCCATAATGGTACAGGAAGAAACAATTTAAAAAGAAGGATTTTACAAAAGAAGAACACTTTTGTAAATTATCTGTGGCAATTAAAAAGTCTGCAATCAGCAGCACAAGTGACATTTTGACTTGAGAATGTGAACAAGATGAATAGACATGGACATGTTTTGTCGTGCTATTCATGCATCTGAGACCCATGTAATGCTTCCTCCTATTTTCTAATTAGTTCTTCCAAAGTACTTTAATAAAAGAAGTTTGTTAAGTGCTTAGGGAGGAAGTGGTAGAACTGAATTTTTAAATATACAATTTTGTCTAAGATCAAGTGTTTAATTAGAATTTTTACTTAACCATTTTGTCAGAAGTGTTCTCCAGCTACTTCAGGGTTTAAAAAAATTTGAATCATCAGTCTGCTTTGTGCATGAACATTTGTTTCCTTTGTGCAAAATTCAAATTTAAGCCACCCAGCATCTTATGTGATTTAGGGACTGTTTGGGTTTGGGTGGGGTTTTTTGACATGGAATCCCACAGAGAGGGAGTGAGAAGAGTTTAAGGTGCAAGTAATCAAGTAAACGTTGTCAGTGGGATTTCCCTCTGCTCAATACAGAGCTCCCTGTGATCAAGGCTGCAGAGGTTACCCTGCCCCAACAAAAATGGAGCCACACAAATACAGGCAAGCTCAGAACTGCCCTTCAAAGGCTACAAATCTCCCAAGTTTATTTTAGTCCAGGGAGCTTGTGGCAGGGGTGATGCTTCTGTAATCTCTTGCCATCTGATTTAGGATGAGATTGTACTCTGGGTTGTTTGTTTGCTAATCTTGCTAGTCATAGGTTTTAACCTCTTTCTGTTTTTCATAGTTATTCTGCTGCCTTAAACCTCTGACTGTGTTTTACCTGTTCTCTTCTGTACATTTTTTCTGCTTGTCACCAGTTCTTCACAATTTTGTTGTTGATACAGGGAGTAACTAAGAATCACACCCTTTGTTGTAATCTTAAAAACATATAAATAATGGAAAAGAGAATGAAACCCATGCAGCCTATGCAACAAATGAGTTGAATGGTCCTGTTAAATAAAATATGCAAGGTAGGGGTGGTTACTTACTTTATTTTTGCTAATTCTTAATATACTGTTACCATTTCCAGCCTCCCCATAGAGCTCTCCTTTGTATTGGCAGTCTTTTATAGACCAGTATGCCCCAGCTTCTTGATAAACAGAATAAACTAGAAATATTGAAAAGTGGGGATATTTCTGTGATAAGAAAAACAGGAAAAAAATTAGTCAAACTATATTGTTAGTAAATAATGGTCATTGTAATAGATCAGTGAGTGTACTGTAGGTCTGAGTGTAAAATGTTTGGAAAAAGATCTGTAAGAATATAAAAGCAGTAAAATAACGTGTCCCCATTTAGCAGAGCAGAGAAGTTGCTGTGTTTTAAGAGAAGCTTCATCTGGAAACAGCACATCTCTGAAATGCTGTGTCTCTGCACAGGAGGTCATCTTACAGAACACAGAAGTGGTGAAAGTGCAGCTTTGCCTCTGCATTGCTTCAAGGTCAATTAATGCAGAGAGAATATCCAGCTGCAGAGTCAGCCTCAAATTGTACAAAAAATTCAGTTGAGAGTTGTAACTGTAGAAGGGAAATGTAATTAATGCTAATACAAACATGAAGTATTTATGAAATGTTAGGCTGAAATATACACAAAGCCATCCATAATTCAGGAAATAGGGATATGGAGATAGAGAAATTAAATTGTGTCCTCAGGAAGCGTTCTTTGGGATGCCTGTAACATGTAGGACTTGGCAAATCTGTGCCTACTTACAAATAAGGAAAATTCCTTGGCTAATGAGGACATACTGAACCAATTAAAATAAATGTATTTTAACCTAATAGCTGTGAAGGCAACTTGTACGTGTGCAACCTTGTGTTGCTGCATCATTTTTGGCAGCAATTTTTATGTCCTGTGAGCTTTCCTGTGCCCCTCTGAGGTGTGTTCAGTGGTACAACACAGGCTGCCCATCACATCCCTGCTGTCACACATCCCACAGGTCAACAGCCTGGCAATGGAAAGGTGCCAAATTGTAGAGCAAATACAAATAATCCATCTCCAAGAACAGTGGGTTTGTGAACAAATGAAATTAGGTTTGTGTTTTGAAGCAGAAGGGTGAACTGTCTTAAAACTCAGATGTTGCTTGGGCCCACAGCAAGAACCACTCAGCAGCATGTTGGTGTGGGGGAAGATCTGGGGGGAAAAGGAGTCCTGCTGCTCCCCCTTTGCTGATCCTGCTCCTTAAGCTGCATTCTGCTTTTGCTCCTCTTGTGACATTTCAGAGAAAATCCAGTTAGTATTTAAATACTAATATTTAAAAAACTAGTTAACTAGTTTCAGTTAAAACACTAAAATCCTAATACTGGACTGCCCCAAAGCTGCAGTGCAGAAGGCAGGGAATTGCCTTGTTGGGCCCTGCAGGGCTTTGGCTGTTTTGTCCAAAGGATCTTTAATTTAAAGCCTTTTGCAGCACAGCAGAGCTGCTGATGAGTGTGAAGGAACTTAAAAACTCAGGTTGCCTGCCTTGGTTGTCTGGGCTGCAGTGGTTGCAGTCACACAAAGTTGGTTAGGCCAGCCCAAGTTAATGGCTTTAGCTTTAGCAGTGGTAGCCAAACCTCTGCAATAAATGCAAGTCACTGTTGGTCCAACTCTGAGGCAGCTTTTGCTGGTTGTGTTGGAATGAGAACTGACACCCTGTGCAGGTGTGACACTGCCTGAGACACAATTGAGTAACCCCAGGGCATTCCAAAATTCTAGTCTTCCTCACTATGTAATAATCTCTGATTTACTGCATGTTGATGGTCATGAACTACAAATGGACATTGTTTCTGCTGCCTTTAATTGGTGCTTTATTTCCTTTACCTTCTTTTATGAGAAAGATTAAATACAACCAATGTTTTTTCTGCATGTATTGGTCACTACTTGCTCTACTTCTGTTATGTAGACTAAATTTACCTCCTCTCCAAACAAAATAATGTTAAGCTTTTAAATCTCTCCTTGTATGGATGACTGTCTCTGGCTTTAATCTGTTTATGACATTTTCTGGTGCTTTTCTGTTTCTGATATATCTTTTTTTAGATGGATGCTGTTAGTGAGCACATGATTTCTAGAGAGGTCATGCCATACATTTATGTAATGGCATAATATTTTAAGTCTGCTTTAAAAAGAGATGGTGGTCAACTTTTTTCTTTTGTTTGCTCTGTCCCTTAAAGTGACAGTATTAATTCTTAGGTCTTCCTTTTGGCAGTAGTTTCAGTCAGTTCAGATCTCATCAGTGAGTAGTAAAAATCTCTGTCTAGAGCATATGTTTGTGTTTTCTGGTGGTTGTTCTGACTTTTGGCTGGGAATTGGAGAACCTTTCCATTCAAGGTGATGTGTGTAGTTTGTGCTGATTCTTGAGGCATCCTCGGGTGTTTCACACACCACATTTGAAGGCCGTTCTTACTGAGTTACTCAGTCAGACACTGATCTTGCCTTTTTTCCCTCCCCTCTCTCTGTATCTTCCCCAAGTTTCTCCTTCTCTTGCTGTTTAGGGCATATAACATTTGTGTGGGTTCTCACAGTGGATAAACCTTAGACTTTGCCTTTTTTGTATGTGTAGCAAGGTTTCTTTTGATACAGTTCAGTGAGAACACGTAGGTAAAAACCAAATTTTTCACAGATTCTGCAAGATAAAAGGACAGCAGTTGCTCAATGAGGTGCTTGAGGACAACTTACATCTCTCTTTTAAAGTCCAGGCTGCTCTCTCTATGCAGTTTCTACATCTACAGTACTTTTTTTACCCAAAAAAAGCTCTGCCATGTATTCCATTCTCTCAGGAGACAAAAGAATACATTTAGTTTCTACTTTTTTTGTAAGCTATACAAAGACTTTTAGCTGTTCCAGTCCTCTGTCTGTCTCCAGGCATTGAATTGACTCCTTGAGAGCTACAAAAAAGAACTAGAAAGGTGCTTTCCAGTCAGTATAACATCAGGATAGGTAGAGGATAGACTGGGAAACAGATTTGCATAAGCATTTAAGAGGCAAAACAGTGGTGGGGGAAAGTGCTCTACAAGCAAGAGCAGCAAAGTTTATACATGACAGATCTGGCCAAACATTGGAAAAATAATGTATAAAACCTGAAGAACTGATGTTTCAAAGTGGATTACAAGTTGTGCAGTGTGTTACAGACCTGGATAGTGTGGGTGGAGTTTTTGGAAAAGTACCACCTTGTTTGGAGAATGAAGGACTGAAGTTCCATCATAGATGAGCTTTCAGTTTTAGAGGAGATCTATAATTGCATGGCTCCAGGTAAATGATAGAAGTGCATTTTGCCTTTGTTATTACTCAGATTATCTCAGTGTTCTTGACTCATAGATTTTAAACTGTGGTAATGGTATAAAGGTGCCAATAAAACCAGGTAACTTCATAAAATTCTTCTCCCAGAAGCTTGGCCGTACTTCTGAAGAAAAGGGGATAAGATGAGAAATTGAACTCTGCATAAACACAGCTCTAGCTCTTTGGACATAATGCAGATGTACCCTGCTCATTTAAATCAATGGTAATAAATTCCTTTTTTTATAGGTGTCTCTGAACCTTCTTTCATTGCTAAAAGTGAAGATCGTTTGTTCAAGCATTTATTTGAAGACTATCAGAGGTGGGTTCGTCCAGTGGAGCGCTTGAATGACACAATAAAAATCAAGTTTGGCCTTGCAATCTCTCAGCTGGTAGATGTGGTATGTACAGCCAATAAGTTGGATTGTTTTTCTCACTAACTTTAAAATTCTGGAACATAATGTCATGTGAAATAATTGTGCATATTTTAGCTTAAACACAGTAGGTTAATCTTCTAGAATTATTGTCAGTGTAATGAAAAAATGCAGTGTGGATGCATGTATGATGTCCTCATATAAACAGACTTAGTGACTGGAATGCTTTCAGAAGTGTGTTTTGTATTTTAAATTACAGACCTCTATGAACTAAAGCAGCTATTTACTGTGAATGTTCTGTGCTGGTTATTTTTGGTAACATATACTTTTCTTTATAGGATGAGAAAAATCAATTGATGACAACAAATGTGTGGTTGAAACAGGTACGTGTAAAATATTGATGAAAAATTCTGAAGCTTCATAACTGCAAATGAAAGTTTGGAAGAAACTTTTCTAATTACTTGTATATTTAAAAAAAAAATCAGTTACTGCATGAATTTTTCCTTCACACAGTGTCTTTGTAAAATGTCCCTAGAAATGCTTTAAAGGCTTAATTGTTACAAACCTCTTAAAAAATGTAACAAACAGACAAAAAAGGTAAATAAAAATAAGGTAAATAAAAATGTACCAAATCAAAAGAAATCTGATATGGCATTGCATGGCCATTGCATGGCAAGAATGCAACCATCAGTTGCTGCCTCAGTACAAAAGTTTTCATTCAACAGCTTTATTAAGAAAAGCAGGGGTTGCTGTAGTGTTCTGTAAAATAGTTTTGAGGTCTTTTTCTTGTGGGATATTTGAGATTATGGAATAAACATCACTGAAGAGTTTCACTTTCAAAGTTATATATGCTTGCTATAAGGAAATACTTTTTCCTCTTAAGAATATTTGGGTTTGGGCAGGAAAAAACCTCAAGCTGTATAATAATCAGGGTCCAGTGCTAAAGTTAATTGGCATTATTATACCTTGGGAAATGCTGCTCACAAACCATTCTTGATTTAACTCAGCAGAATGTTTGCAGACCCTGATTATACTCACTATTTTTGTTTGGGCTGCTTCCTTTCTGTTTGGTTGGTTGCATTTTTTTGCTTTGTTTTGTTTTTTCCCTGTTGATTCCCTTCTTTTCCAGTAACTGTCATTTCAGGCCAAGTTTTTATTTTCAGGGAAACTTTGAGACTACCTGGCAAATGTGTTGATGATAGCACTTTGTGCTCTGTTTAATAGTTTCTACAGATCTTGTTGAACCAGTTGAACCATTTTAAATAAAATAAGAACTGACCTGTATATATCTTTAAAATTGTGTTTGATGGTGAATTCTTAGAAACTTAAATTCTTCCTCTTGAGCTTGTAGTTCAAGTGTAAAATTTCCAAAACACTACTGTGCTTTTAATGGTGCTATTTTTAATGTTGCCGGTAGAAATCAGAACTGCCTTTTAAGAGTTGGATTTTTTTTCTGTGATGAAAATGTCTAAATTGCCTCTGATTAGCTTCCAGTGTTTGGTATTGATTCAGAACAAGCTTTTTTCAAACTTAATTTATACAATTAAATTACATTATAACAGCCCTTACTTATGTATACATGCTCTGAAAAGGGAACTTCATATCTTAAGTTCTGTACAGAAATAATGTCAAGTGGCTCTTACAACAGAAAACAAATACTGAGTGAGGTAACTACATGACTGTTCAGCAAATTAATTGGTTTATACAGATTTTAGAAGCCAGTCTCATTGTTTTGAATTGCCTTATTATCTGTTTTCATCTGGTGTTGCCCTGCTTAAATCCGCTTCCAAACAATAATGGTTTTTACATCTCACATATCCACAGGAATGGATAGATGTGAAATTAAGGTGGAATCCTGAAGACTATGCTGGAATAACATCCATCCGTGTCCCATCAGATTCCATTTGGATTCCAGATATTGTGCTCTATGACAAGTAAGATTTGAGTCTTTTCACAGGAAACACATTTATTTTCTAACTTTGCTGTCCCAGCTGGTTCTGGGAGGCTCATTGGATGGACACATTCAGTAGAGCTAAGGCTGCTGGAAGAATTTGCCTCTGAATGCAGAGGGACTTTGTTGCCATGTTAAATGCCAAAGGTTTTGCTTTGCTTCTGTATGGCATTTCTCATCTCTTTAAAAGGTTTATTTCCATTTCTTCAGGTAAACTCCCTATTAAAAAACACTGTCTTGCACAGTGCTGTGTACAAATAGTGTAGAGTGATGGGAGGGAAGCAGCTAATTTATACTGTTATAAGTCATATTCAGCATGGAATTGAAATTAAGTACCCTCAGCTTGAAGGGGGGGGTTGTGTTGGGTTCATGTTGTTTGGGATTTTTTCTTTTAAAAATTCTCAAATATCAGAAGCAATAACTTTTGGGTTGACCTTTCTGCTCAACTCAGGTGCGTGTACAATGCTTTACATTTCCTGACTTGTTGAGTCAGGATAAAAGGCTGTTGCAGTGATTGTAAATTCAAGTTTGGAGGTGGCAAACAAGTATTATTTTAACTGCTTCATGACTTTTTTTCCTTGATAATTATGATTTGGCCAAATTGAAAAGTACTTATGCTGCATTACTAATAGAAACACCACAGTTGGGTCATGCTGTTGAAGGTCAGGGTTTTGACAATCCTTTAAGTCATCAGGACCACAGAAAGTTGCACAGACTTTTTAATGACTTAAAAATACTCTTCACTCTTCCAAAGCTGTTCACCTTTGTGAGATTCAGACCTAACAAAAAAAAAAAAAAAAAGACTATGAAGACAGTACTAAATTTTGGCTGTCAAGGGGGCTAAGGGATAAAGAGCTGAAATGCCAATAACAAAGCATATTTTTCTATTTAAATTCAGCCCCAGACCCCCGTTGTAATTGCAATTACTCTCTTCTTTCAGTGCAGACGGACGTTTTGAGGGAACATCTACAAAAACTGTGGTTAAATATGATGGCACCATTGCTTGGACTCCGCCAGCAAACTATAAAAGTTCTTGTACTATTGATGTCACCTTCTTCCCCTTTGACCTCCAAAACTGCTCGATGAAATTTGGCTCCTGGACTTACGATGGCTCCCAGGTTGACCTAATTCTGGAAGATTATGATGTCGACAAAAGAGATTTTTTTGATAATGGGGAATGGGAAATAGTGACGGCAACGGGGAGCAAAGGAAACAGGACTGATGGATGCTGCTGGTATCCTTTTGTTACATATTCATTTATAATTAGGCGTTTGCCCCTTTTTTACACGTTGTTTCTCATCATCCCTTGTATCGGGCTTTCGTTTCTCACCGTCCTTGTCTTCTACCTGCCTTCAAACGAAGGCGAAAAAATTTCACTTTGCACTTCAGTACTGGTCTCTTTGACCGTTTTTCTTCTCGTTATTGAAGAAATTATTCCGTCATCTTCCAAAGTTATCCCACTTATAGGAGAGTACTTGGTGTTCACGATGATATTTGTGACCTTGTCCATTGTAATCACTGTGTTTGCCATCAACATCCACCACCGCTCCTCGTCCACGCACAACGCGATGGCGCCTTGGGTTCGCAAGATATTTCTTCACAAACTTCCCAAGCTGCTTTGCATGAGAAGTCACGTGGACAGGTACTTTGCCCAGAAGGAGGAAACAGGAACCATGAATGGCTCAGAATCCTCCAGGAACACCTTGGAAGCGGCTCTGGATTCCATCCGCTACATCACGAGGCACGTCATGAAGGAGAACGAAGTTCGTGAGGTGGGTGAATTGGTCCTGTCACACTGATCCTGTACAAGTGGGAATTAGGAAACCAAGTGATGCTTTACTGTGCAGTGTCCTGTTAAAAGATGTGCTATGGATTTCCAGGCTTGGTGCTCCACTGAAAGCTGGGTAATTGTTTCCACTGGAAAGAAGTGCATGGTACAATGCTGAGAATTCTTATGGAGGTTGGGCTGATGCAGCACAGTCCTTGGGTTCTTTAAAAGTCTTTTGCTTTCTTCTAGCAGTATGTTCATGTTGTTAGTTACACATTGTGAGGCACTTGTGTGCTCTAACTGTTCTCTACAGAGCTGCTGAGGTGAGAAGAGAAGGAGGTGTTTTTCCCTTGAATGTTGTACCTGAAGGCTATCTGAACAATGCCTTATATTTTACTTATATTTGCCTTATGTTTTCAGAATAAATATGGCCAAGCCATGTTTTTCACCTTTCAATTCCAAATAAAAACAATTTCAATGCTCTAACTTATATTAGTTTAAATACAAGCTGTGTCCCTAGGTAGGTCATTTTGTGCCAAGATCAAACACGGACTAGATGACGTCCTAAGAGTTCTCTTCTGCCCTTATTATTATTTGTCTCTAAGTTATATTAAAAGATGTCAGGGGCTTTTTTTCAGTCTGTGCATTTGCACTCTGAACTGCCCTTAATGGATGTTTCCACCACTTGGGTAAGAGCACTATGAATCTGTTTTCTTTACATGCTTTTTAAACTGGCACCATTGGTACACCAGAGACTTAATCTGCAGGCTAGTGTAGAAATATAGAAGGCTGTGTGTGGTCTCATGATACTGCTGCCTGTTTCTGATGGCACAGCCTGGGATTATTTCAGTTTATATGGAAAAGGCTCTCTTCAGAAGCTGCTGGTTGCTAAGAGTGTTCTCACAGTCTAGGAGTAAGCAAACTCCTCTCATGTGCCTTCTCAGGACTTGATTCTGACATTGTCACAAGGGATCTGGCCTAGATTCTTAATAAATGTATCTGCTGTACTGTTAAAGCAGCATCTAACAACTCTGCATTGTATGAACAACAGAAATAGTTTGCTATTAAATACATAATTTCCTATGTATTATGGGTTGCTTTTCTTTCTCCTGTGAAGTTACTGTATTTGACTGTGAGTGACAAGAGAAGTGATAAGTATTTTGCTTTTCACATGTGATGTTTTTGTGACTCTAAACCTCAGAAATTAACATACAGATGAGTGGGGATTCACTTGTGTTTTATTACTTGGGCTCCAGAGAGTTTGCAAACTTTAATTGCAGAAGTTGTTAATAAACAGCACACAGCTAATGCTGTTGTAGCCTTACATCTTGGGAAGCGTGAGGCTTGGGGAATGTGGAGAGCTCCAGTTCAACTCCAAGGCAATTGTTTGGCAGGGCTTTCATTTGCTTGCACAGTTATATCTGCTACACTTGCAAAACTGTGTATAGGTATGAATAATCCTATAAAAAGGAAGGTAGTCTTGGAAGTACAGTGAGTGTTCTCCCCAGTGTGCAATTCTGTGCAGCAGTAACTTCACAGCCTTCAGATCTTGTTTGTAACACAACAACTGCTCAGGACTGTAATATTATTTATTTTATTTTTTAATTTGGGAGGTTTAGTGGGTTTTGCTTAGGTGATGAGAGGGCTTGTTGTCTTTTTTTTTTTTTAATAACTTTTGTTTCTAGCTCCTGCCTGGGATTTCCACTTTATGCTGTCGTGTGGCATGAATGCTGCAGTGTGTTAGAAAATGGCACACCAGTTTCATCTCTCTACAGATGAGGATTTTCAGTGCTTGTCAGGGTTGGTTTCTGCATTAAAATCTAATATTGGTCTATACAGCTTACCAGTCTTCACAGGGGGCAGTTTGCTCCTGTTCCTGCTCCGAGTGTAATTATAAAATGTTGTTAAACAGGATTATCTAATGAGCAAGGCTGAAAAAAGTGTACTTTGAAATGATTAAGAATTGCAGGGCATGGTACTGTATTTTCACCTGTTCTTGCACATACTGACCATCTCTTGTGCTCTTTTGTTTCTTAGGTTGTTGAAGACTGGAAATACATTGCTCAGGTGCTTGATCGAATGTTCTTGTGGGCTTTCCTTCTGGTTTCAATCATTGGATCTCTTGTGTTGTTTATTCCTGTTATTCATAAGTGGGCAAGTATAATAGTACCTACACATATAGGCAGTACAAATGCATAAAGGATTTTTGGAGCTGTCTCCTGCTAATATGGCTCCAAAGAGTTTTGCAGCAGCTCTGTTTCCATGCACGTTCTTTGTAGGCATGTTTCTGATAGAGTGAAAAAAAAAAACATTCCAAAACTAGAGAATTAGGATTATATTAAAGCATGGCATTCCTAGGACACATAGAAGTCAATTTGCTTATTGCAAAATTGCTTATTGCAAAAACTGGCAATTTGCTTATTTCCAATCTACTAAGTTACTTCTAAGCCAGGTCAGAATTAAAGGAACTTTCTCAAGCATTTGCATGTATGATAGATCAAAAAAGCATACACTGACACCTACTGCAAAATAGAAGGATTTAAAATTTTTTAGTGATGATCACTGTAGTCCAATTATTAAATTACTATATAAATTGATATACAGAGTATTATACTTGCAGTTACTTACACAGCAGAGTTGCTTATTTCGATTTACTATAGTATAAAAAGGAGAATTTTTATCAGTTCTCTTGAATGTGCTGTAAAAGTATGAAGTTTCTACAGAGTAACTTAAAATAATAGAAAAAAATGCAAGTTAAACTTCCTGTATGTCCAATATACAACTGAAAAGAGTGATTTGGCCATGTTTTGCCTTTATAAATTTTCAGTGGAATTTGCTGCTAAATTTTAAATCTTGTCAGTTCTATGATAGTAACATGAACATTTAATAAGCCTTAAAATGCCTAAAGCACATGTGTATATTGATATCTCCATCAGCTTTGGAAAGGAAGGCAAACACAGTTAAATGACTTCCCAAGTTGCACAAGGGCTGGAACATTCAGGTTTCTTTATCCTTGATGAAGAATTTGATACAGTTTGTGAGTTGCAAACTTCTTAATTATTTCCTGTCTTTGTGTGTTTCTCAGAATTCAGTTTTTAAGCAGAGGGTTTTAATTTTTTAATTTTAAGGAATCTGGAGGAATGTCTTTCTGAAGGAAAGGTTATTAAATTATTATGCCATGGAACCAGATACAGATGATTAAGTTTTCACACATTTGTTAAACTGAACTTAAAAGAGCTGCCTTGAATAGGTTCTCTTGCTTATAAAGCCACATGTAACTCTAAGCAGCAAGGACTTACAGCTTCCCATTCTTTCTTTTTCCTGAGTGTTGAAAACAAACTTGCAGCTTTTCAATTATTCCACTAAAATCTATTCTTTACATTGATTCCAGTGCCACCTTTCTTCATTTCTTGAAAGCTTTATTTCTGGAAAACACTCTAAAATAGTTGAGTGTTTTCCCACACCAAAGTTTTGTCAGTGGTCTTCAAAATATAGTTGTTATCCTGTAGGACCAGCAGAGCAATGCCAAGCTAGAGCAAGTCTGGGGAAGTTTATGTTTGTTTAAGTTACTACATTAATAATAACAGGTTTAGATGAGAAGTTTTAATGTAAATTGTGGTATCTTGGATAATGTAAGCTTTTATAGTGGTTATAAATTTGAAAACCAGATACATACTCCCCACACACCCCCCTGGAGCTCCTTTAGAATAGCCCTGTTTGATTATAATAGTGATTGCTTATGCCATAACCTATATAGGACTGAATATTTATTTCAAATTGTCTTAAGATGTAGGATTTTCTTGCTTTTTTAAGAGAAATGATGCCAGGCAAGCCTTTTTTTCAATAACAATTTATAAATAATTCTGATTGTAAAGGGAGTTACTCTTCTTCAGCTACCTAATTACATTTGGCATTGGATGTCTGTGTTTCCTCTACTGCCATCATAATTTTACAGGTGAGCTTGCAAAGATTATCTGATTTAATCCATTAATGTAAGAATTTTAACTTCCTTGGTACTACTAAGATTAAACAATGCATCAGTGACTTCTCTGTGTGGAAGTTGCAGAAATACTTCAGAAAGCTTGTTTCCTGTTCAAACACAAAATTTCCTTTTATAGTCTTCCTTGGGTTTGAATTACTGAAATTTGCTCTTGCCCAAACAGAAAGCAAAGTAAGTAAAAAAGTAGATTAGATATATATATATATTATTTTTTTAACTCTCTACCTTATCTCTTTCCCCTTGTCAAATGATGTCTGTAGACTGCCCTGATGGGCAGCACATTGCCCAATGGAGTCACAGTCCTTATAATAATCCCCAATTTTTGCAAATGCATGAATTTCTTTTAGTCACTTCTACAGCCTGATCATGAGAGATTTAGAGCTGGCCCTGGAATCCTTGGGGTCTGCAGCTTATCAGGTGTGTCTGAAACAAAAGAATGTTAACAGACTCAGAAAAATGCACCTTTATCCTGTAACTTGTATTGAATGTATTGAACTGTAGGCAATGCTACCTTATCTAGGTTTTTGTTACTTGGACAAAATAAATGGAAAAAAGGCACCATTATCAACAGTTTGATTCTCTTTATTTTCATAAATGTCACACCACTTGATACACTGTATTTCCAAAAGGTTTTCAGTTTGGTACAGAGAGAACAGTTAATATTTGTACAAAATATGTTCTCATTACAGTATTTTGTTGCATTCTTTATTCATGCTCTTAAATAACTTGCAGTTACTGATTAAAAAAATGAAGATATATATGCCTAAGCAGTGATTTTTAGCACACTTTACAGGACTATTTTGTGTCTACCTGCCTTCCCTTGTCAGAAACCCCTTTGCCTCTGTATCCAAACTATCCCCTCAGAGTGTTTTGATCCTTTGCACCACCTGCAGACTGTCCTGGTGTGTGTTTGACTTGTACACAGCTCTAAACATCACTAGGTTTGAGTAGCTTTTTTTCCTGACAGTCCTCACATCCATTGCACTGCGGGGATATGCAGAGTTAACTTCCTGGCTGCTTTATTACCATCATCTGCTATTTCAATATTTGCTTTCCTTCTGTAACAAACCTGCCCCTGGTCCTTTCTTCCTGCACCGTGGGTCAGTTCACACTGCAGATGGTGATGTCTGCATTCCAGCACTTTTATACTTGTGCCTTCCCAACCATTCCATCCACATGAGGGCATTCATGGAACTCAGGATGAACTTCTCCCAGAAGGTCCTGTCATGGTCTCAAGACTCTTAGGCTCATGAAAACAGCCCAAAGCATTCAACCCATCTTGACTTTCCAAACATTCGTGTAATTTTCCATTTCTTTATTCACCCCTTCTTAAACCATTCCTATAAAGTTTAATGTTCTACCCACATCATTTCCTGTTGTGGCAAGAAGTAGCTGTAAAAGCACAGCTCCTGTTCTTGGAGATTAGCTGTCATAAAGGTTCAAAAGAATTTCTTTTCCCACGTTTTTAACAAAGCCGCCTTGGTCAAGCAGAGTTGAGAGTTCCTTATTCTGCTACACGTGGAAGAGACAAGGGGTGCTGGGGTGGCCATACAGAGTTGGTTGGCAGTTTTATTTGATTTCACAACATATTGTTTAACCTTTACATTTCATCTCCAGCCATCAGAGGTTGTAAAAACAACCCTGCTGTTCCTAGAATACATACCAGGATGAAAACCCAGAGAAAAATACGGTCGATGACCATGGCAACGTATTTCCAATCATCCTGAATCTGGAAAAAGAAAAAAAAAAGGAAAAAAGAATAGCAAGTTGGCATGTTTATTAGATCAATGATTTGCATTAGCAATTAGTGCCATTTTATATAGGCTTTTTCTGTGTGTAGGTATCTTTCATGCTACACAACTTACACATCTCTGTTTTCACTGACTAATTCGTCTTGAAGAAGCTTTGTTTGAATATGCTCTTTGTGGCAAAGCCAAAAGCTGCTACTTCAAATACAGAAAGTTTTTCACCAAGACACTGGACTGGAGGAGATACAACTTCTCTTCTCTGTGCCAAAAATGAAAATGTAAAGCTTTACATTCTCAGCTGAAGAGGTTTGTCCAGAAAACTTGACTGAAACAGACTGCTCCTATTCATCTTTAGGCAGTATGTAAAAGCAAAAGCTAATTGGTATATAGTTACTTGGTACTTTTCTTATGTAGTACTGAAATTTGATTGTTCTCATGCATGGTGTAAAATTCATCTCTGTACCTTTCCTGCAGAGGAGGTTTCAAAAAAACCCAGATTTTTTCTCTTTTTTTTTTTTCTTTTTACAATGAGTGTTATAAAAAGAGTGACACTGAAATATTATATATGCTATATATTAATAGTAACCAGGTGATCATTTTAGTTACCATTGAGATTGCAATTTAAATTTTTACTTTGTTTTTCTTCTGGAGTGCTAATAAATGAGTAATGTGTTAGTTGTTTTTGAAATTCGTGCTTTTTAGCTTACAACTTGTTTGTTAGGGCAGACTTAAAACCCCAAAGCAACCCTGTATTTTTTGTACCAACTAAATATCAATAAAGCTCTGATTTCAGCACAAATGAAGTAAAGTTAGAATGAGTTTAAGTGCTATACTGCAGAGGTTTAAATTCTGTGATAATTGTGGGGGGGTGGCTACTGCTCATAATATGTTTGGGGAACATGACAGAGAGAAAGCTTTCCATTTTTGTTTCTTTATTGCATTAAGATGCAGCTTTATGAAAGATGCTGGTCCCAGTGTTGCAGCAGTTGCCTCATTTAGCTCCAGAACTTTACTCTGCAGCAGCAACAGAATAAACAACATCATCCCTACGAGGGACATTCACTTGTGGTTTTGTTGTTGATGGTAAGCTGGGGGAGAGAGAATGAAACTTTCCAAAGGCCACAGAGTCAGCAAATTCCACTATTAAGATCATGACTTGGAAAATCCTAACTTTAGCTCTGGTGGGATGGATGCTCTCCTATGTTCCCCCAGCAATAGTGACCTTAAACATGCTTCATTCAGTATTTATATTGTCAGTAAAGAGAATCTTGTGCAACAGAGCTGCTCCCCAATTATATCAATTCAAAATTGCACATACTTGTACACAGCTTGGGTAATTTACTTGTATAAAATAATGGTCTCTGGGGATTTTTGCTTGTTTGTGTATTTGAGATCTTTTTCCTACAGAAGACTCTAATAACGAAAGGTATCTGCAGTTTGAGTAATAGTAAAGTATGTTCTTACCTCTTTTGCTTCATTCTGCATTTTCATATTTTCTGCAATGTATTTCACACTTTCAATAGCATCTCTCATTTCTGGCGACAGAACTGAAAACGAAAGCAGAGGATCTACAGACTCAGAGCTTGAACTCCTGGTGAGATTGCCACTGAAATCCGAGAACTTGGTGCGTTGGTACTGGCAGCAGCTGCATGCCATGTCCTGACACACAAAGCCATCTTTGCAGCATTTGGCTTCAGAACTGCTGAAGCAATTAAGGTTTGAAAACTCAGAAGTGAACGGTGGCTTTGGCTTCTGGTTGTTCTCTTCATCGCTGGCAGGCCTTGTCATGAACATGATCCTGGGAAGTAAGTTCAGGAAAATGGTTCTCACCCACACGGGCATCGTGTGTGTCTTGGGTGTTCTGTAGTGCACATTCAGCACAAATACCGTGATGACAATTGAGAGAGTTACAAATATCATGGTGAAAAGGAGGTATTCCCCAATGAGGGGAATCACCAGGGAAGTAGAAGGTATGGTTTCTGTGATAACAAGAAGGAACACTGTTAAAGATAGAAGGACTGATATGCAGAGTGTCACCTTCTCACCGCAGTCTGAGGGCAAATAGAAAACTAACACAGTAAGAAAAGAAATCAGCAGACAGGGAATAATCATGTTGATGGTGTAAAATAAAGGTAAACGCCTGATGTAAAGAGAATATGTGATGTCTGGGTATATCTCTTCACAGCAGTTGTATTTGATGTCATGTTTATACCCAGGAGCTTTAATAATAGCCCATTCTCCACTCTCCCAGTAATCTTTCAGGTTCATTGTGGAGCCAATTAAAACTAAGTCAATTTTGGCTTTATCATAAGACCAGGAACCAAACTTCATGGTGCAGTTCTGGTAATCAAACGGGAAGTAGGTTACATCTATTTTACATGAGCTTTTAAATATAGCTGGAGGTATCCAGGTCACATCACCCGTGTATTTTAGTAGGGCCTTTGTCTTGTCATCAACCTGGAAATCCCCAACTGCACTGTAAAACAAATAAAAATAACAAATATTAGAATGATCTACTCCAAGTAGTTTCATACATTCAGATCACATACATTAACTCTTTAATCTGCTTTGGGAAAGTCAGCAATTACTTGTTGACTTGGAGCTGAATTGCATGTGCAGGACTGAGCCAGTGGCCACCATAAATTTGCACAGTTAAACTGAAACAAACAGCTGTATAAATTTACCAGGGAGGAGTTGAAAGGGAATATTATTCATTCCCTTATTAATAATATGGCTCAGTGCAATCAATATTCAAAATGGCAAATAGCAGACTGCAGATGGCAGTTCAGCTAGATAAGTGTTGTAGGTCCCTTCCAACTGAACTATTTTATTCTGTTCTATTCTAGATCAATCAAGCACGTCAGAACCCAGGGGCTGATAAGAGGATACCTGTATTACTGGTATTCCCACCTCTTCTGTGGACAGTGCAGGTAGTAACTATTGAAAGAGGGATTAGGGTTGGGGTACATCTTTACATTAAGGAGTGTATTTGGTGAGGGGTATTGCCAAGTCCCACTTTGCTGTCTTATATGATCCATGTGACACTTTCAGTTGTTTCTATGAAAAAGTAAAACTAAAAAAGTAATTTAAAATTTTAAGACCACTGTTAGAAAAGGAGTGTCATCACTGTTGATCCATAGAGCTAAGTTTTGGATGTGGGTAGGTAAGTCCATCTCCCTGAGAACTGTTTCCCTACGTAGCAGAGGGAGCCATTTAGTTATGGTTTGGCTCCTCAGTGTCTCAGCAGCTGACATCTAAAGTAAACTTTGTCTGTGGCTTTTATATGTCAACACTGTTATTAGAAAGGTTGTGAATTTAAATTGTGAATTTAACTGCTAAAAAGCTGGAAGTTGCATTTTTTTCAGTTAAAAGTCTGACTCGCAGACAAGAACTCTCCAGTCTAAGGGAATTCCTGCCAGCTCCCCTGGTAGACAGTGATACAAATAACAGTAAAAGTGAAGGGGGAAAGCCAAGTTCGCTTTGGCTTGTCCACTTGCAGCTCCAGGTTAGAGCTGGCTCCTGCCCAGGGATGCTGATGGAGCATGGAGGTGAGCACAGCAGAGGGGGATGTGGGACACAGGTGTGTTGGAAAGCAGGCTTCTCAGTATATTCAGGGAACTTGCTGATTTTTTTTTAAACTGGTAACATCACCCCCCTTCTTCGTGAATGAAGGAGATAAATATGCAAGAGTCTTACTTGTTATATAAAACAATATCTGGCTTCCAGATCTGGCCAGATGGTACTCGGATGAATTCAGCACCTCCATAGTCTGCTGGGTTCCACCGAAGCTTGTAATCATTCCAGATCTAATTATGGACAAAATGAGTCTATGTTAGGTTTGTGAAGAAACTGAAATTCTGTGGACTAGACCTGAACCAAGTGTTGTCATATCCTAGGGTTGTTTTATTTTGGATACACAGTGTTTAGCTGTTTCTTTAACAAACACATGTGTGGTGTTTGTTCATATGCAGATTGTAGGTGGGCCTAGATATGACCTTGTTGGTCATATCTGGATGTGACTTACATGTGTGTGACTCTGTCCCAGGAATGTCTACTCAGCAGTTGAAACAAGGTGAGAGAAGGAGTAAGACTCTTGTCAGAGAATGTAGGACTTCAATAATAACTTCAGTCTCAAGAAACCAGGTATCTGTGAGATAGTGAGAACAAATTCGTGGAGGCTGTGGGGGTAGGTGTGAGCATCGAGTGAGGGACTCGGGGTATGTGGGTCAGAAAGAGCTGCAGGGTGTCATTGCTCAGTTCAGTAACAGCCTCGGTCCTTAGGGCTCGTTAAACCCCGCTTAAACAAAATTGAATATCAAGCCGAAAACAGGAACTAAGCTGGTTATTCCGCTGGCTGCAACAGTGAGTAACTGCATTTTTAACCTCTGAAGACCCTTTTTAAGTGAGGGTAAACACTTTTGGTTTGTTCTCACTTTCCGGGAACCAAACACCACCAAGTGATGCTGTGCGGAACAGCCGTGCTGGGTGTCTGCCAAGGCAGCGCGTGTGGGAATCTCGAGAGCAAAAATGTTTTATTTAGCGGCTCCCAGCCGGTGTAGCAGCGCTGCTCTGCTCCCGTCCCATCCTATCCCGTCTCTTCCCATCCCTTCCCTTTCCCGTGGGCAGAGCGGGCCGGTGGCCGCTGGGAGGCAGCAGAACGCCAGGGACGGGCGGCGCTGCCGGCGGGGAGCGGGGGGAGCCCGGGATGCTGCCCCAGGAATGCCACCCGGGATGCTGCCCCGGGGATCCTGCCCCGGGAATGCCGCCCCGGTGCTCCCCGAGCCCGCAGACACCTCGCAGGACGCTCGGCTCTCCCCGGCCCGGGTGCCCCGGAGCTCTCCCGCGCTGGGGGGGAAGGTGGGTCGGTGCCGCCCCGGCTGTCACTGAGCGCTACTTACGTGCTTGAGCCACAGGTTGGTTTCCATGATCTGGTTGACTTCGTCCTGGAAGAGAGAGTTGTGTCGGGACAGCTGTGTCGGGGCAGACGCCGGCCCCACCGCGCCGCCCGGTACTCACCACCTTCACCAGCTGCGACATGGACACCTCGAACTGGATGATGACCGGGTCCGAGACGTTCTTGACGGGGCGCACGAACTTGTTGTAGCTCTGGAAGAGCGCCGCGTAGAGCCGGTGCTCGGCCTCGGAGCCGCCGCAGCCTGCGGAGGACACGCGGTGAGCGCCGGGGCAGAGCCCCCCTGCCCGCCCGCTCAGCATCCCCTGGGCTGGGCACTGCCCAAGCCTCGCCCAAGTGGGCAGGACCGTGCCAGGGGGTGCGTTAGCTTGGGCTGGGGAGAAGAAAAGCAGCGAAGGGTAACGCTATGATAGAGGTCTTCTCACGCACATCTCTGCAATTAAGTTTCGGGGAGTTACTGAAGAACTGGAGGTACAAAAGCCCTTTCCCCTCCCAGGCCCGGTCCCCTAGACCTGCAAAGCTGTGGAGCAAAGGAAGGGGAAAGTGCAGCTCAACAGACCAGGCCGCTTGTGAAAGGTCAGAATGTTTCACAAATAGGAGGATTCTGAGGAAACAAATCTGCTTTCTAGCCTGAGTCACAATTGTGTGATTATGGCAAGGATAACAGTCTGCTTCTTAAAATAAAAAAAAAAAAAGGATTAAAATTTATTAACTGTTATATTCAAAGACTTTTCAGCACATTCAAAGAAATGTGCTAATTACCTGGTTTTTATCCTAAGTAGTTTTTATTTATAATAGATTCATATTGTCCTTTTGCCACTCATAACTGCAGTTCATGGTACCCTGTGGCCTACAGAAAAACTGCAAACTGAAATTCTAAAAAATTAGGGTACTTTGCTTGTTTCGGGATGAGGTGTGAGAGCCTGTATTTTACATTACCATTTTCCTGTTTAACTCACTAGGCAATAGCCATCCTAATGCTATTTAAAAAGGCAGTGGTCTTTTATTTTTAGAATGATCTCTTAAAACTATCTCTTAAACTCGTTTTGGACAACACATCCCCATGAGCTCCAACTGAAAAGGAAAACAAGGCCTGTTTTGTCATTAATGGATGGCACTATGCAAATTTGGCAAAGGCACGAACTGAAGTCTGTTGAACGTATTCTACAGTTCCTGTGAAACACAAATATGAATCTACAGATTTGCAAGGACATGGGGGTTTTTTGTCAGTTGTTTTTCAGCAGAGAAAGAGGAGGGAGGCAGAAGTATTTGCAGGTGACTGATCTGAAAGGTTACACAAAGCAGGTGTTACTTTCCAATCTTTGTGAGTCCTCCCCTCTCTCTAAAACGAGAGGGTCCCTCTCAAGTGAATCTACTCAGGTAAAAGCTTGTTTGTTTGGGTTTTGGTTTGTTTGGGTTTTGGTTTGGCTAATTGGTTTTTGCCCCTCTCCCCTTCTCTTGCTCACTTAGAGGGCAATTTTGTTTTCAGATTAGTGAAATCATTCAAGCCAACTTGCAAGCTAAAAAATGAACGCTTTTGTAATTGCCAGTCTTGTCCATATTATTTATTGATATCTCCTATCTCTCATATCAAGATTTCCTGGAATAAATACTCTCAAATCTTTTAGGTAAATAGTTTCAAAGCTAGATCTTAACGACTCTGTTATAGTCAATCCCCAATTGCCAGCCTTTTTACATGTCACTAGCATTAATTAAATCCAGCATCCACCGTCTCTAGAGAAGTGCACTACTGGGGGGTTTTTTATTTGAATATTTTGGTGCTTTCCATATCTGCAGAGAGAAGATGGGCTGTTTGCAGCTCATATTTGAAGCTCTTTAGTGTTGCCACTTTCTGGTGGTCTTCTCTGCAAAATGTGAAACCACACCTTTACGTGTAAGGTGCTTTTTCCTTAAAGTTAAAATGGCTTTGTGTGTCCTGTTTGGCATCTTTAATCAGGACAATTAAATAGTTTACAATGATGAACTTTAAAAACCCACCCACCGAACAACAAACTGCGTAACAACAAGAGCTGTACTAGGATTTATCCCTTAGCTTGGGGTGAGCTTCTTAAAAATAATGTGCACCAAAGCCACCTCCTGTCCACCTTTTCGACCCCCCCTTTGCCACCAAAGAGTAACAAATGAAGGATCACTCACCTTGGCAGAGGAAGCAAAGAGCAGCAGTCAGGAGGAGAGCGTGGATGCTCTCCATGGTGTTATGAATTACTGCCTGTCGACAGAGGCTGCTGGAGATGAGCGTCGCTGCCAGGACTGTGCGAGCACAGGGAGCAGGGAGAGCTGCGCTCCTCCGATGCGTGAAATGCCTGAAGCAGCAGCCGGTAGGACCCTGAACAGCTCTGCGCAGTGAGCTCCCATTAGGGTTGCTGTGCTGCCCCCTTCCTGGCTACCCGGGCTGTCAGAGCTTGGGAAATGGCAAACAAATTGCAGGCCAAACAGATGTTATTGTAGGCAAAGAGCAGTCTTCTGGCAAGGATAATGGGCAAGAGTCCTTAAAACGGTGCATAAATGAGCCTGGTAGTCTGACAGGGCTAAAGATTTTTCCTGTCAGCTGCTCTGCAGGCTCCTTCTCTACCAGAAGCTCATAACAATCTACTAAGGGAAGTTTAATTAATAAAAATCTTGTAATTGAATTGTGCTGAAATGAATATTGACATTAGGGATGCTTGATTTAGCAGTGAACTGAGATCTTGGGACCTGCATTTACAATTATGCTGTTAACACTGAGGCTTTTTTCCTGCCCGTGTCTCGTCTCACGAGCGCATGTGCTGGGTGCTTGGCTGTATAAAAAGGATGTGCTATTCCCAGGAGTAATTAAAGGCATGTGCAACTGTTGACAGGATCTAAGCCCAGAGTGGTAAACACAGCAGCTGGGATCTGGCAAGAGCCAGGGCTTTGAATGGAGAACTAAACTTGATCAAACTAGTGAGAATAACTGTCTTTAGGCCATTCCTGATTTTGTTGATTAGAAAGATGAAATTTGAGAAGGGAATAAGAGCACAGGATCCCGGCTTGATCCCACAAAACCTTATTGTTCACAGGGAAGGACACTGGGAAGAATGGGGAGTTGTGTTTGAAGTTCAATCATAAAATCATGATTTACAAAGGGACTCATTGCCCAGATGCCCATCAGCTTCCTTGTTAACTTCTGTCACCTTTTGTGTCCCCCCACCCCTTGGATGAGCAGATGATGCAAGGCTTGCACAGCTGCACTCATCTGTGTGGAGGGAGGGAGGGGGAGAGAAAAATGTGGGATTCCACCCTCATTTTTAGGACTGATGAGAGAGAAGCCCTGTGGGACAGGAGCTGCCCCAAGAGGTGCTTCCCTCCCTGCTCTTAGGGAGTGGTAACCAAGGACCCCTTTGCTCTGTGTTAAGAGGTAACACGGGGAGAAAGAGCACCAGGCTGAGTTCAGCTCCTGGCACTGAGCTTGTTTATCCTGTTAGCCCTATCTCTCAGAGCATCATTCACTCTGTCCCCAGACACATGCTCTTATGATAATTTCTGTAATTCTATTAGCTTGGAGGAAATAGGCTTTACTGTCCATTTGATTTTATTTCTTTTTTTTTTTTCCCAGAGAACTCGGCTGCTTGGTCTTTTAACTTAACCCTTTGTGGATACTTTTGTCTTTACCTTTCCAGGACATTGAGATTAAATGCCTTCCCTTTCTGCTTCCTTGCTATAAGGACCATCATAACTGAGATTTCTGTTTGTTCTTTTTAATCCCAACTAGAAATGAGTTAAAGCTTCAAAGACAATACCATAAACTTGTATTCCCCCAAAGTCAGTGCTTAGCCTGGATAATTTGGAAACATCTGATCTGCAGAGGAAGCAAAGAGCCATTACATCAAGAGACACAAGTACTTCAGTTTAATTAGCCTAGTTACTGAAATTTTCAGTGGTGTTTATGTGGCACAGATGTTTTGTTTCCAACACCCCATGCTGGAGGTGCTGGTGAAATCAGCTCAGGATTGTGGTAGGATTATTTTTATGGCTAAGGGAGAGTGTTGTGATGAGAACACGTCACCATGACTGCATTGCAGAACTACATAGAAGAAGAATTTGTCTGATTAGGGGGAAGCTGATCTACCCAAGAAGATCTGCAGTAACAAACTATGCAGCCTTTGCTTTTTAATAAACATGCTCAGGTATCAACTCAGGTAATGAAGGAAAGAATATTTTCTCACTTTTGCTGGGATATTGATGCTCCCTCTTGAAAAATCCAACACTGCTGTTGCTCCCAGTTTGCTGTGGCTGCAGGGGTGCAGAAACAGTCCCAAATAAATGCACCTGGATGCAGGTGGTACATGTGTGTGGTGGTGGTGGCATTTCTGCATGTTCTGATGAAAGGCAGGATTGGTCAGGATTAAAAAGTTTTATAATTCATGTAAGAGTTGGACTTGATCCTCATAGGTCCCTTCCAACTCAGAATATTCTATGAAATCTGTAATGGTAGGGAATGGGGAGAGAGCCAACAGAGGCTTTTCCTCACTGGTAGGGAAGCAGACTGGTTGCACACTGCTATTGAAAAACAATTTTAGTGTAAAATACATTTTGAATATCCTTTTTTTTAATGAAAAGTATTATGGTAAAACCCCAGAAAAGTGGAGATGTTGAAGTTTATTTGCTTTGGTGAACTGGGATACTATTCATATTTACCTGCAAGATGCCATTTTTGATGTTTCCTTTTCTCCAGAAATCTTTTATTTTTGAAATTTTGCCAGGAAAACCAAAACAGAAAACCCTGTAATTCTCTGACAAGTTAAACTGGCAACAGTTCTATGTATTACGTAGGTGGAGCTACTGAGGGTTAGGCAAAAATAGTATTTGCCACTTCGAAAGCCTGGTTTTAGGAGGTCAGATTTTTCAGGATTTTAGGACTTGGGGTGAAGTTTTTCATTCCGAAGTTTTCTATGGATTGAATTATTTCTGGAAATGTTAAACATGCAGTGGTGGCTTCCAAGGACGTCCTTAGGAAAGATGATATTGTTTCAGTTGTGATTAAAAAAGGAGTGCATGGAAAGCAGCAGAGCCCATTTCCTGGATGAGGAGCCGTGTTCCCCAGGCATCTCCCTGGGGCCAGCGATGTGCCTTTGGAAAGCTTTTTCTGGGTTTGTCAAGTCTGAGGCCTTCATCTGCCTGCACTCTGTGTTAGCTGCTAGCTGAGCTGCCAAATCCTTTCTAAAACTTTTGTGTGTGCTGAGGATAATTCAGCTGAAGGCTGTGGTTACAGAGCCAAGTGCTATCAGTCTTTACTTGCTCATGAGGATGAGCCAACTCTGAGATGGGAGCACCGGGGGCCTCCTTTCAGCTGCGCTCAGGCAGTGAGGGGGAGGATGACAAGGAGAAGGGTCTGGGTAGAAGAGTAAAATTTGGTAAGAGGGTGAGGGGGGGGACAGATCCAAAAGTGCTGTTGGTGCTGGTGAAAATGGCAGAGAGAGGAGTCTCTGCTCTGCACAGCCCCGGTGTCATGTGGGGGGACTGCAGGGGCCATGGCAGACTTGGTGAATCTTTGGTTGCTTGGGAGGGTGAGTCCCCTCCCTTCTGTCCCCAAGGGATGTGCAGGGTCTCTCACAGCAGTTAAGTCTGTGCTGCCTCTTTCAGATTCGCTGGTCAGGGTTATTTTGATATTTAAAGGGCCTTCACCTTTACACTATCTGCACTGGCAGCTGCTCTGCCTTCCCTGTGGCTTCTCTGTCAGCAGAAAAAGCTGTTTAGCAGCTGGGGCAGTGTGTGCACCTGTGCTTGTGATATAACCTAACACAGAGGATTATATGTATATATATATGTATATATAACCTGCACTGGGAGGGCACCCCTTTGCTCCCAGGGGCTGCCTGTGCCCCATCTCCTCTCACAGCTGTTCAGTTGCCTGCAGAGAAGCAGCTCTGCTCTCTAGGCCTGCAAGGGAGAAGGAAACATTTAAGGCAGGGAAAGCAGGTTTGACTTTCCCCCACCCACCAGTCACCCCGGGAGTGTCTAGAACAGATAATGTTTGGGGAGGTGGCCAGGGCATTGCCCCCCACTGTGAGAGCAGGATGTGGCAGCTTGGCTGATCACAGGGTGTACCTGCACCACGAGGGCTGTCCTGCAGTTGTCCATCACCTTCTGCCCCGTCTGTGATGGACACGGTCACAGTGCTTAGAGGAAGGGGATTGGGAGGGAGGATGACAGTGTGACAACCCTTCCTTCTCCTAACATATGGCCTCAGGGAGCCTCAGTCACCTCACTTGTGATACTTTTTCACCCCATCCTTCCCAGAGTGCTGGGCACCAGGCCATGCTCAAGTGTTCAGGCCCTCCGGAGAGCCCTTCCAGGGCTCAGGGGTGAGTGTGTGGGGTGAGGGTGTGTGTGCCAGTGGTGCAGGGGAGTTCAGCCACAGGCTGGGAAGGAGTGATTGTGGTCCTGCAGCTGCTCTGAACAGCTGGAAAGGTGGATGGAACTGTTTTGGCATGTCTAAATCTATGGAGTTATCTGGAGCTTCCTGGGAATGCTGATCTAGGGGGAGATGTAGCTCAGTTTTGATGAAGGCAAATAGATCTGGGACTGTTGTCATCTGTGGCTTTTGAAGAACACAGGTTTGGGAGTCAGCTGGTCCTTCCCTGGGACAGGTGAGCCTCAAATCCCCTTCACAAGCACTAAAGGATTTTAACAGTTTGTTCTCCAGTCATTAGTTGTGATTATCAATGGTGGTACAACTGTTATGTGTCCTGACAACACCCCAATGGAAAGCTGAGGTTAGCCAGGAGCCCAGTTCTCTTCTTGCAGGTTACCTGGAACAAACTGTGGTGGGATTGTCCTGTGATGGGAATCTGGGGCCTCCATCTGTCCTTTGCCAAAGTCTTTGAGACTCCACATGCCTTATGTGCTTCCCTAGCTAATTTGTTGAGGATTAGACTTAAATCCACCTTAAAATCTCCCCAGAAAAACACACAGGTCTGTGTGTTCTCAGGTGTCCTTCTCATTCTTTTTGCCTTTCACAGTTGTCTTCTCCAGTTGCTTTCCTGTGCTCTCAGCCTGAGATTCATTAAAGTGCATATGAGCCCCAAAGACATGAAAGTTGCAAGAACATTTGAGGACCAAATCTATATAAAGGAAAAATTTCTGTTTTATTTGTATTTCATCAATGAACAGAGTATTATCCATGTGTTTGTTTATCATACATTATTTTTGCCATTGTTGATCGACCAGCTGTCAGGGATGGCAAGGTGAGAGACCTTGCAGTGGTTACCTCAGAAGTGGGTTTCTATTTCTAGGTTCAGGTTTATGGATCAAACCCACTTGTAAAGTTCTTTATGCATCAGACACAAATTGTTTTGATGCATTTGAAGGAAACAGATTTCATAGCAATACCTTCTTGGTAACAGGGAAATTGCAGTATTCTGAGGAAAGAAAAGATCCTTCCTAAGGCAATGTATGTAAAATATAATAATAATAGTAATAATAATAATAATAATAATAATAATAATAATAATAATTAGCCAGGATGGCATGTTGTACAGTAGAAGCCTTTTTCTGTAATGTTCAGACTTCAAACAATTGAAAAAAGGGCCAAGATATCACCAGAAGTCCTGGACTCACTGGAAAAATTTTTTAGTTTTCTGCTTGTTTGGGTTTTTTTTCTTACCACAGTAAGTCAAGTTCTACTTTCCTTTTCCCTGCCCTAAGGGATGTAAGTGCAACTCACTTGGCATCTCTGTGGATTTAGCAGAGGGGAACTGGGAGTAGAATGAGACCCAACGTTTGTGTAAATATTGACAATTTTAAATGACAACTAAGGGTTCATGGCAGCAGTGTGGTTTTGAAAAAGGGGTTGCAGAAATAATCCAACAGTCCCCAGGACACACACGAGGACAAATATCCAGAGGAACAGCCTGTCCACTACCATGGCAACATACTTCCAATCTTCAATGACCTGGAAGAAAAAGCCAATTAAAGATATTAGCAATTTGTCATATTCTTTTGCTCTTCCTCTTGCTAATGCTGAGTTTCTGTTTATGAAAATAAAAGGAAACAGATCTCAATGTTCAGGGAATGAACTGACTTCAGGCTTGGTAAGGGGTTTTTCTCTTACAACCATTCTGAGCAGTGGAGAAAAATACAGTGAATATTTCTCAGCTTTCTTGGCTGCATCAGGTCCTGAGCGTGGCTGCCTGGTGGAAGCCAGTCCTGAAGGACCCACAGTAGAATCCAATTAAGGATTTTTTTCCTTTAATTTTGGTTTGCAGATGCTATTAATCTCAGTGGGCAAAAATAGATGGTGTTTACTGCTGTTAAACAAGGTTAGCTTCAGAATTCTTTTCTTATCAGCAGTCATCTTAATCAAGGGTTTTAATGCATATTAATACTGTTGCTTTTATTAAAATCCCTTTTTGCCTTGCATGTGCTGTCTGTGAAAGCCATAGCCTTGGATTTTGTCTCAAACTGAAGTGACTGTCTGGCTATTACTGTAAAAGGGGAATATATCAACCTCCATTTATATCTCAGGGATATTTTTTTCCTCTTTCATTGTTTCTAGTTCCATGTGGGACATCCTCACGTCGATGGCTTTACCATGCTGGTCAATTGTCTCACGTCTTCTATTAGAATATTACATATTTTTTCCTTCAGTGCACACTTCTAATTTCCACTAAAGGAAATTAAACTCTTCTGAAATTAGACTATATAAATGTACATGAACAGTTGTTATCAGACCGTGGTGATGAAGGAAGGAAGCAGAGAAGAAAGTTATGAATCTAGAAAAATGATACATAATATTGGAGGATTGTATGTGAAAAGCATTAAATGAATTTTTAATGCATAAAATACCCTTGAAAATTGTTCTTACTATCAGTTGCAAGCTTTGTAGATCCTTTAGTGTGCAACACATTCTTGCAAGAGTTTCTGAGCTATTAGCTTTTTTCTGCTCTGTGAAGTCTGCTGCTCTTCAGTCAGCTTCAGTGTTTATGAGCTCATGTCTAATGTTAATAGCTGAACTCCTTTATTTATATTGACAGTAATTTCAGTTAATAGAAAACATGAATTACGCAGTAGCATGCTCCTCAAGGGACTTCTGCAAGACCAGAAACCAGACTTTATTTAATCTTCTTGTTTGAGGGAGGGGGAGCACAACAGGAATAGAGAACCCAGAGTCTGGCTGGGATCTGGGTCAGGGAGAGGACACTGGTAGGTATGAAGAGGGTTTTTCCTAACCATGGGTGCCTGCCTAAACAAAACTATGAGCCAGCTGAGTTTTCCAAGCATTATTCCCAGGGTATTGTCTCAGCTTTGGTGTTCCAGCTGGTGGCCTGTGAGCAGGGCAGCAGTGGCACTGCTTAAATGTGTCCTGGATAAAGTATTTCTCAAAACCATTATTGAGTCTGATTTAACTCAAATGAATGAAGCAGCAGTTCTGCTGCCTTTAGGTTTTTAATGCTACCCATCATGTTTGCCATCTATAGACAGGTCTCTTACCCAGAGAGGGTGTTTGCAAAGGCCTTCTACTGATTCCACTAAATCCTGCTGTGCCCAGTCAGGGAAATAAATGCTGGAGCTGCAGGTAAAGTTTCTAGTTCACTTGGCCTGGCCATGGGTTGAATCACAGTCTTACTGAATACCATGGAGAAAAATAGTCTTTTTCTAACCTGGAACTGAATATTGTTTTCTTCCCCTGCCAAGCACTACTTGAATGTGACAACACAGCTTTTTCAAGGGTGTTTCATGACTAACTGAGCAATCAACAAACTCTCTTTGTAGAAAGAGCCATGTTACTTATCAGGAGAGTATTTGCAATTACCAAATTCCTCTTCATTAAGTCCTTTAATGGCAAAAATTAATTCCTCTTACAAGCTACATCTAGACTGTCTCTAAAAACCTGAGAGTTCAAATACACTTTCTGAGGAGCATGTTACAGAGGAGGACAGGAGATGAAGTTTGGAAAGATGGGGCTGATTTCTCATTTTTACTTACGCTCTGGTCGTTGTCATCACTTTTCATGTGCTCTGCTATAAAACTGACTCCATCAATTGCTTCTTGGACTTCGGGAGAAAATTTCGTGCCTGTTCTTAACCTGAAATCTCGATGACTGCTGATGTTGTCAAGTGTCTCAGAGATTTTCATATCATATTTTTTGGCAGGGGCTGTATTCAAAAAATAGGTAGAGTTCTTGTAGAAGTCAGCTGCCTCCATACAGGGGTGCTCTGCTTTTGTCTTTTTGCAGCTGCAGGGCTTTTGCCGTGGAGGATTATTTTCTGGACGCTTCATGAACAGGTAGGCCGGGAGTTTTTCGAGGAAAACCACCTTTACCCAGGGGGGCATCATGTGGGTACTTGGAGATCTGTGGTGGACATTGAGTACACAGACACTGGTAACTATTGAGAAGGTCACTAGTACCATTGTAAACATGAGATACTTCCCAATCAGCGGAACATCGAGAGACGTCGGAGGGACAATTTTGGAGATCAGCAGCAAGAACACAGTCAAGGCAAGCAACACAGAGATGCACAAGGTCATTTTTTCACCACAGTCTGAGGGCAAGTAGAATACCAGGATGGCTAAGGACGTGATTAGCACACAGGGAATGATAAGATTGATGGTGTAAAAAAGAGGTTTCCTTTTAATAATGAAGTCATATGTCACATCCACATAACTGGGGTCCAGAGGATTTACAGTCCTCCTTCCTGGCAGTGCCACGATGTCCCACTCTCCGCTGGGCGTGAAGTCGTCCATGCTTGCCATGGAAGTTTTGAGCACCATATCGATTTCCGTGTGGTCGTACGTCCAGGATCTGAACTTCAGGGTGCAGTTCTGTTGGTCAAAGGGGAAATGCTTGACTTCAATCTTGCAGGCACTCTTGTAGATGGCTGGTGGCAGCCAGCGGATGCTCCCGTTGTTCTTCACGATGGCGTTGGCGTACAGCGAGACCTCGTACGTGCCGTCCGCGCTGGGCAACGGGCAGAGACAAAGGAGAGAGGGAATGAAACGCTCAGAGGGAAAACACAGCTCAGAACAGAAGAGCTCTTTATAAAATTGTTATTGAGTAATAAATATGCACCTCTGTTTCATCCAGAGAAATCAAAGCACTTTGTAAATGTTTGTTAAAGCAACTTCAGCTCCCTATGACTCTGAAGGCTGAGTGAAAATGAGATCATCCCACATGAAAATGGAGGTGCCTTTGATCTGGAGCACAGGCACTGCTAAGAGCACAGAGCACACTCCTAAATGACTTGGACGAGGAAATAAGGATGAGCAGCATTAGTTAGAAATGCAGGGAGAGTGTGGGCAGAGGAAATGTAATTATATGGTTTATAATTTAGGACGTCACTCCAGTTAATGTTTACTCATTACAAAACCAGAACAGACAAGCCACAGTGTTCTTAGTGCCCACAAATAATCTTGGCTTTGTATCTCTTCCAACTGCTGAACTTCCACCAGGGGAGTCTTCTACTTGAAGATGAGCCCTTTAATTCAGGGAGGAGATCATTATCCCTCAGTGGTCAACATCTTCTCCTGCCCAATGTTCCTGGGCAAACAACTTAGGGCTGTTGAACCTATCAAGTATCCTGAGGTAGTATCCTTGTTTGCTGACAAGACATCATGGAAAATAGGGTTATTTCAGTGCTAAGGCTGATTTTTTTTCTCAGCAGGGAAGTGCTACAAGTATCCAAGGATTGGCACATGTGGAGCTGTTCTCCGGATCAGTAAGGTTTGGCTCTGGGAAGGGCTCGCCTCGGTGAGGTTCTGAGTGCCTGGCACTGAGCTGAGACCCCTGTAGATAATTCATGCAGGCAGTGGAACAACCAGATGCAGAAGTGAGGGGCTGCAGCATAGGGGGGTCGTTAGTTCACTGACAGTGAATAGCTATTTTTTGACAAATCAATAATAGCGTCTCAGTTCTCACATATCTGTGTCTCCCAGGTTAGCTTTACTGTCCTGTCAGACAGTGTGCTGGGCACACTCCTGGGCTGAGAATGTGCTGGGTTTTGTGCTGACTGCCCCATCTCAGCTGCTGGTGCTGCCTCAGAGCCCTGTCCATGGGCAGAGCTGTGGGCACGGGGATGTGCTTTGTGTTTGCCTTAGGACTCACTGATGCCAATGAAACTCTGCTCCAGCAGCAGTAAATTATAGGGGCTTGTCCTTTGTCTAAAACTTCAATTTGAAGCTTTGTACTGATGTTAAAATCCAATATGGTGAGGCTTATTCCCCTACATTTAAGAAACCTTTTAAAACTGTTTCCTTCTATTCTTACAAATCATTAAATGGTATCACTTGGGGAGTAGCAGAAAGAAGCAGAGGGCAGGGGCACAATTTACCAGAACAAGCTTTGAGCAGCCAGTACATCCTAATCCACTGGCTGAATTATTTTGTTACTAATACACTAGTTTTAAGTGTTCATCAAATCTGATTTCCAGTTGTAGGATTCCAAGGACTTAACTCAGATATATATAAACTTCCTGGGTTTCCCATCTGTATATGTCCATAAATCATCATCTGTTTGTGAATTCATTGGTTTTCAAAGTACCATGAAGGTATAAATTTTGATTATTTTCCCTCCAAAATTTATATCATCCACTTCAAGGCTTTGTTAGAGACTTAAACCAAAGCAAAACAAAATTGTCAGCTACTCAAATTATCTTTGAGGCCAGTGCCCCAGTCAGATACAGCTGATACTATCAAACAGTTACAAAATTCAGTTCTTTAATTTTATCAGACCTACTTCATTGTTTCTGGTGCTTGTTTCTTGGTCAGAATTTTGTTCATTGTCTGCATAAACTACAGAAGTTGTACTTACTTATTGTAAAGCACAATGTCTGGCAACCAGATGTGTTTGGCAGGTATCCTCAGCATTTTTATCCCTTCATAGTCCGAGGGCTTCCAAGCCAGGCGATAATCAATCCACTCCTACGAGAAGAATTGTACAGCAGTGATGGGGGTTTCCAGGCCAGCCCTAACAAAACAATCATTTGATGGACTGAAAGCATTTGTGGTTTGCAAGGGCACATCTCTGTGGGTTTGGTTACCTGGTTCAGCCAGACATTCGTAGTCATGATCTGCTCCCGTTCGTTCTGCAGGGAAAAACGGAGACAAAAATTGGCCTCTGAAACATTTCACTCAATTGCAGCAACAAGATTTATTCAGTGGGGTTTTGAGCATGTCTCCAACTGTGCAGGATGATTTTGCTCAGTGGATTTCAAGGCAGGCATTTCTCTGCAGGTAGGATGGCCAGTCTCATACACATGCTGATGATCAATAGTAACCCCACAAGTCTGGAGCTCCAAATGCCTTTTAGCAAGAACAGTTATGGCAGGAGTGAGTGTGGCTATTTGGGAACAATCACCACCACCCTGCCCAGCTGATTTCCTCCCCCCACCCCACTTCTCCACCTTTGATTTACAGAACAGAAAGTACATTTGGCCACTGGAAGGGCCTCCACGAGGTTGTGTGAGGTTGATGTAAGGTTTGCCATGTAAGCTCTCAGCTGGCAGGCTCTGTTCTGTGGAACTGCCGTCTCTCTGCAGAGCAGTCATGAAGAGAAATCTCTCTACAGCAGATTTGTCAGAAGGATTTCTGCAGGAAAACAAGTTAATTCTCTGATCCTGAAGATGCTTGGGATTGTTAGAGCCTATAAAATGCCTAATTTTGTGTTCTGCTTGAAGAGTGAGGCTACAGAGGGATAGGAACTGAGCTGTGCTGTTCTCAATCCCTGCCCATTCATCTGCTCTGTTTAGGCTGTTGGTCACTGCGGCCTCTGGGACATCTTTTTATGCCCAGAATCCGAAATCTTGAGGACACTGTGCCAGTGGTGGTAGTGCAGTGTGTAGGGAGGTGTGTGTGTGTCCAGGTGGAGTTCTCCAGGAGAGAGGGAGCACTCATACCAGAGTCACCTGGTATACATGGCATTATATCCTGTGTGTGTATATATATATACATGCACACAGGCTGGATATTTTATATACATATATACATACTTGTATATAAAATATATTTTTATCTGTCTATCTATCTATCTATCTATCTATCTAATATCCAGCCTGTGTGTATATATCTACACACACAGGCTAGATATTTTATATATATATATGTAATATCCAGCCTGCACATGTGTATGAAACCTCAGCTGTTTGTACAGTTTCCCTTTTGTTCCATCTGTGTCTCTCTCATTTCCTCTTGAATTTCAGACTGTAAATTCTCGAGGTCTCTCAAAGTTTGCAGCAGTGCAGGCAGTAGCCCTTACAGAGATTCTGGCAGGGAGGCAGCCATCTGTGTCTTTGTGACCCAGGGAGAGAGCAGCACAGACAGGAGCCCTGATTCAGGAAATGATTCCCACTTCTGTGCTGGCTCTTGTTCCACTGCAGTAAATGCTAACCTCTCTTGGCAATGATGTGTTTGTACCTTGGAAGAACATGCTAACCTTGTGGGTGAAAATGTCTTTCAGACCTATTGAAGTAATTTTTATTGAATATGAGGAGTTGTGTACATGAGGATTGTTTTAACCATGTTAAGCTATTCCAGCCAGAACTAATATGCCTTTTTCTTTACAACATTCCACTGTTCTTTGCTTATATGTGTGAGATTTTGATCTGGCTTTGTAGCTTGTTTTCAGGCCATTGAAAGTAGAAGATGGTTTAGCATTGTGGGCACAGTCCAGGATGGATCCTGACCTGGGGTAACTTACTGTAGCTCTACTGAAACCAGTGGAATGATTTTGAATTCTAGATCAATGCAGTTTTATAGGATGAAGATCTGGCCACTGTCCTTCATTGCTTAGGCATAGATTGATCTCCCTGTAGCAGCTGCATTGAGGTGTAAAACCAGTAAACTGCATGTGTGGGCTGTGCCTATTAAGTAATATTATACAAGTGAGAAAAGAGCTGGGACACTGTAGAACCAATATGGCTATTAGAGTGCTGTGCAGGTAGTAATGAATTAAAAGGCATAGCCTAATTTGAACTTACCACACTGATGAGCTGTGCCAGGGAAACCTGCAGTTCTATGGACACCAGCTGAGAGGAGTTGACAGCCGGTCGAATTAACTTGTTGTACCTGTCAGGACTCAGGAGGTGGTTCATCAGCTTTTCTTCAGCGTCTGCTGCTGTGCTTCCTGTAAAGCATCAACAGGATTAGAGAAGGGAGACCAAAGTGACGTGATAGAGGGATCACAGAATCCCTGTGCATCAGATCATCTTGTGGAATAATGAGGGCTTTTGGCTTTCCAAAGACTGGAGGCTTGTGTGAGCAGAAGGATGTGCTGCTTGCACCAATATCTGTTCTGCTGAAGCTGATTGTCTTTCACAGAGCACAGATCAAAGCAGATCAACTGAAACCCTTTGGGTTTTTTCACAGTAAAATGTGGAGCTCAGATTGATATATTCTTTTTGATTACACTTAGAAATAGACACCACCCTCTTAATAGCAGCAGAAGAATTATTCTATGATCCAAAGGCAGGGGTCCAGCTGTGACTTCTCTCTTTAGTGCCGTAGGAGATGAAGTTGCAGGTACAGGTAGAAATTAAAAGACTCTAATTTAAATATGAAAAACCAGGGGATAAGCTGAAGGATACCTAATGATTTTTTAATGACTGGGAACTCTTTGGTAGCTACTGATGATTCTGTTTCAGAATTTGAAAACTCAAGGCAGTATGTAATCCTTAGTTTGTGTGGAAGCAAAACCTGATTTGTGGACTAGCACAAATACCATAAATCTTAGATTGCCAAAGCTGGAGTTTAATGATTACAAAATACAGTATCTACAGGTTACTATCAAACAAGCCTGAACATTCTCCATGGAGCAGAACAGCTTCTGGCACAACCCCAGAGGGAGCTGAATCTGTTCTCATGTTCTTGAATGTGCTTTTTAAAGCCTTTCTAGTGGACTTTTCAAAGCACTATTGACCATGTGGTAATACTGATGACTGAGGTCCTGGTAACATCCTGCCACCAGAACTGACCCAGAGAGACTGTGCTGTTTGTCAGTTCTGTGATGGACACAGATGTTACTGAAAGCAGGTTCTAATCCAATGGATACAATGATTCTTCCATAGGAAGGGTCACCTAATTCAACTGTAGGTATTGCAGAGATGAGGGTAGTGTCCCTACAGCATTCTTGCTTTGTTATTCCCCAGAGCAATTCCAACAGTAAAAACCATTGCCCAGGCAAGTATTTTAAATTTGTGGTACATTAATTTGTTCTGTTTTTTTTAAAGTTGGAGCATATCTATGAGATCCAGAGACAGGCACACATCCAAAGGCCAGGATCAGATAAGCAGTCCAAGTTTGTGTGCATTTCTGGAAGGTGCCTAGTTCCCATGTGAAGTGGGCTGGAAGTTGTTAGGGTGAGCAAGTCTCTTGAAACTTGGTTCTTCTGAATCCAACTCAGGTTAAAAAAATACCCCAAGAACTTCTCGTTTCTGATCCAGTAAGAGAGTGAAGAGATGTAAAAGGAAACATTCTCAAACAGAGCTTTCACATCTAAGAACAGCTTTTGCTCAAGCTCTGTGGAAAGGCTGAGATGAAGCACCAGGCCTGATTTAAATCCTTTCAGACCAGCATATGCTGCAGCACTGGTAGCCCAAATTTTGTCACATATACTTAACCATAATACTGTTCTTCAGAATAGGCTTCCCAAGTACTTCCCAGGCCATTTGGGAAGAAAAATTTGGATGAATGCATCTGTGTTTGTTGGGTCAGTTTGTTTTTGGATTCACACTTGCTTTGTGCCTCCCTGCAAGTCATTACAAAAGCCCTTGTACCATGTGATATTTTAATATCACAGTTATTCTCAATGTAAGCTGCCTAATCAAAAGCTTATCAAACTAGAGCTATGCTGATTCTTGCTAAGCTCCAGATTCTGGATTTTTCTTGTGTATTGCATTCAAGGAAGAGCTAAATTTGATATTGTAAAGAAAAGGGGGCCACATTCTGTGTTTATAAGGATAGATTAGAAGTCTTGTGGTAGCTAAAGAGAGAATACTGGTTAAAGTTATTGTGTTGTGTGGTTTAGTGGGGTTTTATGTTGGTTTTGTTTGTTGGGTTTTTTTAACAAACATTCCCACTGTTGCATGGGGAAGTGACATAAACAGATGGCTTTAATTCAAATATAAATAAATTGTGATTTGGTCACTGAATGCTGCTAGCAAAGACTGAGTTCTTGTTTGAATTGTTAAATATGTTTTCACTGTACTTCTGCCTTTGTCCATAAATACTAGAGAGCATTTGCTAAACAGAGAGGAAGCAGTAGAAATTGCAGAATATTTGCAGAAAGCTAATTCTGGATTTGTAATTAGGTTTTTTCTCTGAAACCTGCTTTTAGCAATCCCAGTTGTCTGGTCTGCAAATCAAACCAGGGTCGTCTGGTCTGGATGTCTGACGAGAACAGCTCAGATTTCGAGGTACTGACTCTGTCAATAAACTTGATGCAGAATAATGACAAGACACAATTCTAAAAAATTATTTGTTCAGCAATGAATCCCTTTAAGGAATTATTATCTGCTCTTAGTGAAAGAATTCCTGTAATGAATAATTCTTTGTAAAATGGCATCCCATGCCAATCTTTATAATTTAATAATCAGAAGTAAAGGTCAAAGGGGTTCCTCTTCACCTCCCTCAGCTGCCTGTGTCACACACCACTAGATGTCAGCCGTGCCCTGCCTCAGAGCTTGCCAAAGTCAAGGGAAAGGAAAATGTAAATAAAAAGGAATGGTTCCTGTATAATTTTTATAATCTATTTTCCATTAACAGTCTACATATTAACCAGATGGCACCTAATGAAAACAAAATTCCCGGGCATTCAGGTTCATCTTTCTGTGCCTTTCATGGCAGTAGCCAGGCATTAGAAACTCCTCTTTCTCCTCTCACAGTTGGAACAAATGAAAGTGCAGTTTCTCTCCAAACTGTTGTTTTTCTTCCCAAATAACAGTGATCACCGGAGATGCTGCAGAGGGAAGGCTGATGCTTTTAGCCAAAGGATTGTAACAGCAGTGAGGAAACAGTCCTAATCTAGGGCTGGAGTATTTTTGTGTACTGAAAGCAGGAATAGAGAGAACACATTGGGGTGGCTCCTGAGCTGGGGAAATGATTTCAGCCTCACTGAACACGCCACACATCTGCTCTGTGACCAGGACAGCAGTTGCCACATAACTTGCAGTAACATTCTTCAGTAAGTTTGTTTTCTCTGTGGGAGCATGACCATTAAAAAAAAATTACATCAGGATGCTTCCAGTTTCAGAGCAGGAGAAACAAAACCCTTTCCCTTTTACATGGTCTAATTTCAATGCAGAAAGTGAAGTAACTCGTCACCCTGTGTTATGTTGTTTGTTTTCAGTGTAATGACAAATTTGCTGGAGTGATTTCCACAGAAAAGAAGCAAATACAGAAACACAGGCAAGTCCACTGTTATCACTAAATTTAAAAATTTAACATAAGGCATGTTTCCTGTGTTTCCCTGACTTCACTTATTGTTATAAATGTTGAAATAGCATTTGTTTAGAAATAATTTTGTAGCACGTGTTGTCATTTTAGTTCTTTACTCTCTCACAAATAACTTATGTGGACAATAGTGACATACCAAATTCCCTTCTGTAATTAGTAAAGAGCAAGCAAGAAGCAGCAATGAGACAGTTCCATTATCTTCTCTAAAATTACTTTGTGATGTTGTTTCTTTTCAGCATACTCTTGAGCAAAAAGGTTTTCATGACCTCTTAGAACAGCTGCTAAATTGGAATGCTTATTGTTCCAATGGAAGTACCAGTGAATTTATTGTAGTTTAAAGACTTTTAATTTTTTATGTTGCAATTAATGCAAAAAAAAAAAGGAAATAATAAAGGCTTTTATAAACCAAGAATCTAAAGTGGGTCCTCACTCTTCATTTATTAGAAAGCAGATGTTTTATAAAGTTACCTTTCAGTGATTGAAGGAAAAAACAACAACTCTGGGATGAATAGGTAATAATGGGAAATGTGTGATCTTTGTCTTGGTTTGATTTCAGCAACTTTCTCTGAGAACACTTCACTGGAGTCTCTCCATGGGAAGAAGCTCCCATGGTAAATGCACTATTTCCTGCTGCTGTCAGGCTGCTCATGTTGGCTAAAACACATGGAAGAAATCCTTATAGACTGAAGAAAATGTATGTTTGCTTTTTTTAGCACATATATTTATATATTACAACTTAATTTAAACTATTTACATGCTAATAAAAATAATTAAGAAGTGTGAACTTCGCGACATACAGGAACTTGAGCAAATAATTGTAGAGGGATGAGAGCTGCCTTATTTATGGTTCATGGCTCATTTTTTTTCACCCTCAGCACAATATCTGCTTTTCCTATCACAGATGATCCTGGGAGCATCTAAAGGGATAACATTTAGTGATTATTATTGTCATCTCCTACAGTTCTGTCATTTTACATCCAACTTAACTGTCTGTCCGTATCCATCGCAGTGCATTTGCAGATACCAAACAAGCCCAAAACAACACTAGAATAATCAATTTTATGCATCCTCTCAAAGTCTGCAAAACCTCCTGAGGTGATAGTTATGAATTGTCTGTGAGCTTTTATCCCAGTCCTGCCTCCTGGCCCCCAAAGCTATTGCTGCTCTGAAACTGTACCCGAAAGAAAAGGTCACTTACCGTTAAAACAAAGGGAGCCCACTACAAAGAGAAAGAGGGTGTACATTTTCCTCGTGGCAGTAACAAGGAGAGGTGGATTACTGTCCCTCAGTCAAGCCAGCAGGCAATAGGCTCTGTTGTCAGGGATGCACAAGGAAGAGATGGAAAAGCAAACCTGAATCTTGGAGGTATTAAACGCCTGGAAAAGAGACAGACAGTAGGACCTGGCAGAAGCGTTCTGCAAAGTGGAGTTTTCGTGAGCACAGTGGTCCCTCCCCCTTTGCAGCTGTTTAAAGAGCTTTGTGGAGAGGGAAAGCACGTAAGGAGAGGGAACACAATGTGATAATGTTGAAAAAGAGGAAAGGAAAGCGCAAGCTAAAGACACATGATGTGCAAAACACAACTGCTTAATTCTTGCTGCTAGATAACATTTAGAAGGCTTTCTGGTTAATGAGTGCAATGGGTGGGAATAGCTGTGTGGGAAAAGCTGGATACAACTTTGTGCCATAAAACTTGCTAGTGAAAGACATGTCATAAATTAAAGTCCCAGCAGAGGGTAATTTTCTGTGTCAGGGGAGAAAGTTTATTGCCTGCTGCCAACCCTTTTCCACTCCAAGGCCCACACATCTGATGTCTTTAAAACAGAGCTCCAAAAAGCTTTCTGGGAGCAGCAGGAGAGGAACAGAGAATTTGTCATTAGCATCTGATGGGATTTTTTAAAGAAACCTAAAGCAACCTGTTGTGAAGTAGCAATAGCAATAAAGACACCCTAGAGGAGCATTAGAGATTCCATGGAATTCATCTTCTAAAGCTAAAGGGTTCAGCAGAGTGTAGAGTGTCATTTGTTTTGGGACTTGCATGTGGGAAGATTTGTGTAGAAGGAAGGGGCAAGAAGATCTAATGTGCCCTCTGCAAGCACTGTAGGCTATCTTATATCTCTCTCTTATATCTCTATCTTCTATCTATTTACCTTATATAGTCTCTGGATATTTTCTATGCAGGCTGAAGTCCTGTATAGAAAAAAAAAGGGTGTTAATCTTCTAAATACTGTTTTTTCTCCATATTGAGGTTCCTGTCTGCTTCAGCTGGCCACAGGATGCAGCTCTGCTCTTGTCCCATCTCCCAACAGACTATAACACCACTGGCTGAGATGGAGCCATTCCTCATTTATCAGCATAACACACCACACTTCTGCATCTGGCACAGTTGCCACCTGACTGGGGTTATTTGGAGAAGGTCACCTGCTGCTGTTTTTAAGCAAGCTGTCAGTATGGTGTTGAATAACTCATTGCCTTCACCTTAAATATTTTAGCCACCTCCTTTTTCCACTAAATATTTTATAACTTTGTTGTCTTTAAAGGAGGTGGCCCAGTACACCAAGAGACAGTACAATTTTTTGGTAATTGTACTGTATACAACCTATGGAACTTCTCTAAACAGGCTATTTGTTATTACTGGCTCATTTCTTTGTCTTAGGAGCATGGATTCAGTGAGACAGATGGAAAAGCACTGCATGGACTTCTGTTTGGATAAAACAAGTTGTCACATCAGCTTTGATGAAGTGGCTTATGCTGCTACCTTCCCTTCCTCTGAAAACTCAAGGTATGTCAACTGTACCATATCCTCCACTGAGGACTCTCAGCAGTTCTGTAAAAACTTCACAGCCTTCTACTGTGAGAAGGATGGCTTGTATGTTCTCACCTTTCTTCACCTGCAATCTCAACCAATTTCACTTTATATACCTTTAGTAAAATACCCTCTGTTATAATCTCTCAGGTTTTATAGTGGTTTTAACTTAAACTTCCCAACTTTGATCCCTTATAGCTTCTGAATTTTTATACATATATATCTAAATGCGTGCCATCAGTTTGTTTAGAGGTGGATTTATTGTATCTAATGCTATGCAAACACCTCAGATAGAAAAGGTTTTGTGGACTATGTAGGAATTGATGGGTGATGATTTCTGTATACTCAAGAAATCATTACTGCACACAGTTGCTGACTGTTGGCCATACCAACAGAAATGCTCTGGGTTTGTTGCTGATCTCAATTATTAAGTTGAGCCTTGTATCAGAGATCACCTGTACTAGCTCCTGCCTGTTATTTTTGGTCATTTTTCTGCTTTCATGACTCCTTTTCCCCTCTTATTCACTATCCCTTAGCTGGAATTGGTTTAAATTGGGATTGTTTAGCCTGGAGAAGAGAAGGCTCTGGGGGGACCTTAATGTGGCCTTTGAGCACCTTAAGGTGGTAACTGCTGTTTTAATAGGACAAGGAGCAATGTTTTTAAACCAGAAGAGGTAGATCCAAACTAGATTTAATGAAGAAATTTTTTACAGTGATGGTGTTGAAACACCAGAACTGGTTTCCCAGGGAGGTGGTGGATGCCCCATCCCAGGAAACATTCAGAGTCAGGTTGGACTGGGCTCTGGTCTAGTTGAAGATGTCCCTGCTCATTTCAGGGGTGGGTTGGACTAGGTGACCTTTAAAGGTCCCTTCCAACCCAAATTATTCTATGATTCTAAATAATGTGGAATCTGAGGGGGAGGAGGATGGTTTCAGTGAGACAAACAGGAGAAGTCTTCTACTTGGATGAAAAGAGCCAGTGCAGCCTGAGTGAGTACCTGTGACCAGACTAACTGCATGAAAATATGACGCTATTTCTGTGTTCGTCTCCAGTATTTAATTAACAGGGTGTAGAAAAGGAGCCCTCAGAAAATTGCCTTCTTGCAACAGTGACAAACCCTGGGAGGTGTGTCCCAAGCAGTGTTCATCCCGAGCCTTCTGCTTTTTCCTTCTCACTTCAAGGCCTGTCCCTTGTCAGAGGCTTGTAGGGTCGCAGACCTTGCTGCACTCCTGAGCCTGCTGGGCCAGGTTGTGTTTCATAATGTGCAGGGCATTGCTCTCCAGAGCTGAGCCTTCACTTACTGAGGGGATGTTTGAGCAAAGTCCCAGCCTGCTGGGCAGGGAAGACGCAGCTGTTTCTGCATTTTTACTTTCTGATGTCTGACCTGTTTCTCCCTAAAGGCAAATCTTCCATCTGCCAACGCAGCCTCTGTGCCTGTGCAGTGGTTACAGAAGTAACAGATGTATGGCCCCTGAAGTCACTCTGCTTGTACCATCTCTGCTGCTTGGTGCTTGAGAGTTGAACAGCAGCTCAAGTATCACCAAATAGGTTGGGGTTGCTTTCCTGGAGCCATGAATCATCAGAGGGTCCCAGATCATGCACTGATTGCACTTGTTTTGCTGCTGAAGCTGAGGTGGACAGGAGGAATTACCACAGCTGGTTTTCTGGCCATATTCCTTCCTTTGCCATCCACTTGTGTTCTTTCATTCTGACAGAACACGCAAAGTCTTCCTTCATCGCTTGTGCTCTGCAACTGTTTTCCCCACAGTGATGCTGCAGGATTCCATTTGCTCATTAAGCTCAGGTCCTGAAAAGTCTTTTCAGCAGACATTAGCATATGTGATTTTCTGGGCTCTCATGTTAATGCACTGTGCAAGCATGGGAACAGCGTGGCAGAGAGCCATCCACCAACTGGCTGGGGGGTTGTTCCTGGTGCTGTAGTGCTTTGCATGCCTTGGGGTATTAGAGCTCTTAGATGCATGAGGAATGCAAGATGTTCAAGTGCCCAGGAAAACTGGCAGTCCCCTTTTTGTGGATTTATCATGCTGATTTCAAGCTGCTGCTTGCATTAAGAAAGAACCAGTCAGAAATGCTGGAGCTTTCAGAGTGGAAGCAGCCTGGGGTGCAGCCAGCTTCCTTAATGGGACAAGTACAGGTGCAGGCAGTTTGCTGCAAAAATAAAAGCTTCCAGGTGGAAAGGCACCATTAGTTTCCATTAATTGTGATGCTGAAATGAAGTTCAAGGCTGAGGTCACAACTCAACTGGATTGATAAGAGGCTTCAAATGGGCTTGTTAAGTAGTGGCCTTACAGAACACATGGGACTGGCTGACTGACTGCTGCACAAGCAGAACAGCTGTCACCTTCTGCTTGAAAATTACTACAGAAAATGTCAACTAATGGCAGGGTTTTTTCCTGTCACCTCGTGCCTGAGTGAACTTAATGATACCTGCCAAAGTCCTGGCTCATGTCAGCAGCAGCAGCAAGGCTTCCTTGGCTCTCTATTGGCTGAGGAATGGAGCTCCTTACAAGTAACTTCTGCAAATATCCAGCAGGCCCTGCAGGTAAAACCCTACTTTTCCCTACTCACCAGTATCTGGATGAGCTCATTAGAACAGCTGTGCTGGAGCCAACATTCTGCATCCTTGGAATTTTTTTCCTTACAAATGCACTTACAGTCCTGTTAGAGGAAGTGATGGCTCAGTCATTCTGGTGCTAATGTTTTTGGGTTAAGTTGTGCTGTTGCAGCTTCATTTAACAGTGCTGTGGTGTAGCCCCAATTTAAAATCTGCAAGGCAAAACAAAACTGTGGCCCTGTAGTTCCAGTAACTGTCAGCTGGATGAGCCTAACTGTATCCTCCCAACTGTTAGCAGGAATCAGTGGGAAGGGCAAGGATATGTATAATATTTAGTCTGTTGTAATCTAAGGCTTTGGAATTTAGTAAGCTTTTTTTTTGGATTAGTAGGTGCTTTATACTGGAGGACTAGTTTTCATCCAGAGGCTTACTCTACAGAGATGGACTGTATCTATGTGGTAATTATGTCATAAAATCTGTTTCCTGTAGCACCTCTGTAGTTACCTTTGCCTTGCCGGATGGATTCTAAGGAATTCGTTACAGGTATTTGTAATAAGCTGCCTTCAGGCACAACACCAGCTGCCTTGATGGCATAACACCATCAAGCTTTTGCAAATGGCAGTGCAGAACAGAGCTGTGGATGCTGCCAAATTATCAGGTAAATAACACTCTTTTAGGATAACAATGATGCTATATGTTATCCCATCAGAATCTGCTCTAAACCCACACAGTGTCCCAGAGAATTGCCACTGATAGCACTGGGACAGTGTTAGTAACAGTAATGACTCTTTAGCAATGGATGTGATTCCAGTTTTCATGGTCAAAATATGAGTTATTATGGACAAACGAAAAGCCACCTTTCTGCTCTGATGGCAGACAAGTCACTCTTGGAAAAACAATGCTTTCCTTTTTATGGTTAATTTTTGAAAGTTGTCACCACGTGCTGTGTGAGCTGACAGGTGTGTTGTGTTTGTAGAGTATTTAGAGCAGTAATAGTAAAGCCTCTGATTATCATCATCTTTAACCTCCAAAGTGCACAAGTGTAACAAGGCCAGAGGGCCCTCCAAAACAGCAGCTGGA